CAGAAGACAGAAATTGTTGATTCTTAGCCCAGTCTTTAGAAGGTCGGGAATTTCATATCACATACAAAATTAAAGGCATTTACTCAGAGGCCAAAATGAATGTAAAGCCATTTCAACTATGTGTCCTTGAGCCCGTGACAACATGGTCTTGAACTACATTATGATATAAGCCAGCTGCAAGTTGGAAGGTCAGGGCAAATCTGAAGCCAACAAATTGCTTGTTCAGGTAGCCAATCGATAACACTATTGTTCCTCACCTAAACTAAGGCTGTTTGCTTTCATTTGGGGGAAGTAAAACCTCAGTGAGGAGTGACAATGAGGAAGGCGAATGGCCTCAGCATTCCTTTTCTGCTGAGAAGGAATGGGGGAGGGACCCCACTACTTTTGTACATACAGGGTAATTGAGTTTTGCACACCATTGACACCACTGATAAATCATTCAGTCTTTTGGCACCCTCTGTACTCCTGGTCCCCCAAAACAAAAGATAGGCATTCAGAACAAGAGGTGGACGAGCTAGCTGCCTGTACTCAGAGAGCTGGGGGTAAAGCTGGCCCCTTTCTCCCAGCACATGGAGCCCCAAGAAGTCAACTCAGGAGGCTTCCTTATGGCCACAGAACAGCATCATGCCTCACCTAATGGGTCACCTAGTAGCCTTCCTTTGCAGGAGTTCCAAGCCAGTTCTTCAGAGGCACCTGATTCTGTGCCACCTACTACCCTCTCAACGCCCGCTTCCCTTAATTGGTGCAGACATGTAATCCAATGCTCACTCTCTTCCACCCTAGTGCATACTGACCCCATGTGCTCATGGGAGTTTAATCTATTATTAATTCCTCATAAGGCCCAGTGAAAGGGAGTATTCTCATCACTGTTCTATAAATGGGGAAGAAAATGAGGCCCAGAGAGGCTGAGATGCCCAATTCAGGATTTAAACTTGTCTTCGAGTATCACTCATTCAATACATATTTAAATGCTTGCTCTGTCCAGGGCTGGCACCAGGCCCTGGGAAAACAAAGGTGAGCAAGGACATGGCTTCATCCTTATGGAGTTGATGGTCTATAGAGGGGCTAAACATGACATAGTCACTCTAGTAGATATAAAATTACACAGGTGACAAGTTCTGCTAAAGCCTCCAGTACAGACACTTGAGTATATCAGGGAAGGCCTCCCTGAGGAAGTGATGTGACTTAATTGGGTGAAGATGGAGATGAAGAGACCCTATATGGAAGACATGACGTGCAGAGGCCCTGTGCTGGGAGTGGGCATGGTGATGGGGAGTCTGAAAGAAGGCCCACGTGACCAGAGTACAGGGAGCAAAGGGAGGCAAGGTGCAAGATGAGGCTGGAGAGGCTGCAGGGGCAGGACACTGAAAGGCCTTTAGATCACGTTAAAAGTTCCCAGAGAAGCCCTGGCCAGTTTTGCTCAGCGGTTGGAGCATCAGCCAGCAGACTGAAGGGTAGCAGATTCAATTCCCAGTCAAGGACGCATGCCTCGGTTCAGGTTTGATCCCCAGCCTAGGTGTGGGTTGTGTAGGAGGTGACCATTTGGTGTGTCTCTCTCACATCGATGTCTCTTTCTCTCTCTCCTCCTTCTTCTCTTCCATTCTATCTAAAAACCAATGGAGGAATGTCCTCAGGTAAGGATTAACAACAACAAAAGTTTGCAGAGCAGCCCTGGCTGGTGTGGCTCAGTTGGTTGAGCATCATCCCATGCACAAGAGGTTGCTGGTTGACTTCCTGGTTAGGGCACATGCCTGGGTTGCAGGGTCCATCCCCAGCAGGGTTGCAGGTGGCAGCACTTGATGTTTCTCTCTCTCTCCCTTTAAAAATAAAAAATATATATATTTTAAAGTTTCTAGAGCAGTGGAATGTTTGAATGTGCAGGGGCTAAAAAGAGGTTTTTTTTTTTAGATTTTTTTCCCTTAATTTTTAGAGAGAGGGGAAGGGAGAGGGAGAGATAGAAACATCGATGAGAGAGCACATCAATTGGCTGCCTTCTGCATGCCCCCCACTTGGGATTGGGCTCACAACCTGGACATGTGCCCCAACCAGGAATCAAAACCGCGACCTCTTGGTGCATGGATTGACGTTCAACCACTGAGTCACACCAGCCGGGTGAAAAAAAAGTTAATACTTTCCCTCCCACCAGTTCTTCTAGCTAGGCTAATAATCGAATGAACAAAGACAGATTAACAGGAGAAAAATGTTTAATACGTGTTCCTGGGGAATTCACACAAGTATGAAAAGTTCAAAGACAGTGAGGCAACATTCGGCATATGTGACATTTCTGGACAAAGGAGAAAGAGAGGATGAATGAGGTAATAGATTTCTGAAATGAGAATGCGATTTACAGGTAGTTGAGGAACAGCAGAACATACATGGCAGGAAATTTATTGCCAGGCAATTCAGAGACAATGGGACACGAGGTATCTAGCTAATAGGCCTGGAGCCTTCCTGACTATAAAGCTAGGGTGAAGGTTCTTAAGATGATTAAGCCAAGACTCCTTTCCTGAAGGTTTTTGTTTTTTTTATCCTCACCCAAGGACATTTTTCGATATTTTGTTCAGATAGAGTGGGAGGGAGAGAGAGAGAAAAACATCAATGTGAAAGGGACACATCGAGTGGTTGCCACCCACAGGACCCAACCAGGGCTGGGGACAAACTGCAACCGAGGTATGTGTCCTTAGCGGGAACTGAACCCGGGTCTCTCTAGACCACAGGCCAACGCTCTAACCGCTGAACCAAACCGGCCAGGTCTGAAGGTTTTTTTTATCTGAATCTCCTGGGCAGCAAAGGAGTGAAGGTCAAAGATTCTGAGTTTTGTTTCTTAATAAACAGCTTAAAATCAATATCCCAAAAAGGCAGCTTAAAGGTGGCAAAAATTTAGTTACCTTCAAATGGTTTTTGGACTTTGGGGGAAAAGTGACAGGTCAGATTTGTACTTAGCAATCACCACCCTGGGCCCAAACAGAAGGGGGTCAGAGCTGGTGTGGGGCTGCGGCAGACCAGCAAGGTGTTGTGGACAAGGACAGATGCATGATTGAAGAGATTTTTAGGAAGAGAACTCAACGGATTGTATGTGGAGTGAGAGAGGGAGGCATCCAGGACGGCTCCTGGTGGCTGGTTATCACTTGTAGAGATGAAGAATACTGTAAAAGTCTTTTCTTTCCTCTATCGCACACTGCCTTACGCTAAAGATTTGAAGGTGGTCACTGAGAGGACAAGTTCATGCAAAAAATAAATAGGCTTAAAAAGTGGTTTTCAACAAAGAGTAGTACTTTTTTGGTTGCCAAACTGACTGAGGGGCACTGATGGCATTTGGTGGGCAAATGGTGTCAGTGATGCTGAATAGTCCTACACAGAGGACAGGAGTCCCACACATCAGGAATTGTTTCATCATGAATGCCAACAGCACTCCTGAGAAGAAACACTATAAAATACCAGATGTGTATGATAAGAAATTATAGGATGTCCTAGGAACACTTGAGGAATTGCCTTGGCCTTTCTTCCCCTAGCACAATTCTTGGGATCAGGTGAAGCAGAACAAGGGGGTAGGTGACACATTGCATCTGCCTCACTTTCGAAACTAACCTTTTTTTTTTAAGGGGTTTGTGGGAAAGATCCAGGAAGCTTTTTGAAAGAATCTGAATAAAAATGATGGCCTTGCCCTGGCTGGTTTGGCTCAGTAATTAGAGCGTTGGCCCATGGACCAAAGAGTTGCAGGTTCGATTCCAGTCAAGGGCACGTACCTCTGTTGCAGTTCCTCCCAGGCCCTGGTTGGAGTTGTGCAGGAGGCAACCAGTCGATGTGTCTCTCTCACATAGATTTTTCTCTCTCTCTTCCATCCGAGTGAGGATTAAAAAAAAAAAAAAGATGAGCTTCATTTTTAAAAGGTACATAAACATTTTGCATCTGTCCTTCTCACCTGCAACGCTCATTGCGGGATCAGCTCCTTCTTGTTACCAGAAAGGGGACCTGGCCCTTGGCGGGTCTGCCTAGAACTGGCCAGTAGTGTGTGAGTTCTTGACTTCATGCAGGAAAAGTTTCACCACACAGGTGAATTTTAGAGGACATTTATTTAAGCTGGGGACAGTGAAACAAGGAAAGGCTGGGGAAAGGAGCCTAGGCTGGTCTGCTTTGGCTCACCGAGTCAGAGAAAAGGGGGGCCTTGGGGACAGGTTCAGGGGTTTTCCTGGGATGAACTGCTGCTGCCCATTGCTGCCCTGGGGCCTCGTGGGGTCCCTTAGAGTCTAGGAGATGCATACCTGTAGGGGGGAGTGTGGGGGGGTCCCCGGTGTGCTCCTGTGAAGGACAGCCTGCAAGCCATGGATCTTTTTGAGGCTCTTATTTCTCTCTTGCAGGTGGGAATTTTAGGGGAGGTCTCGGGAGGGTTTCAACAGAATATTCATCAGTTTTCTAGCTGTGCTCTCTCAGGGTCATGGTCCTCACTGATTGGTGGCAGGGCAGGGGGTCTTCAGTCATTGCAGCTGGTCCCTGTGTCAGCCACCTGATTTTGCTGCTTTTCTGGGTCTGGAGCTGAAAAATAACTGAGCCTTAGATGTGATTTCTAGGGAGGTGACCTTCTGTATCTGCAGTAAATTGCCTCAGTTTGTTCAGGTCTATCTCAGTTTCCCTGTTCCACTTGTCCTGGCTCACTGGCCTGTCCCCCTCTCACCTCCATCCCACACCCACCTGTCACCTCCTCGGCTGTGCTGCCCTCAGCACAGGGAAATTAACGTGGTTTCCTCATCAGTAAGTAAATTCCGTGAAAGCATAGCTTTCACCCGCCCTGCTCCACGCTGGGACCCCAGCGGCAAATTCCGCGTCCATCAGAGGGAGTTTCATACTGTCCCGGGGAGTCCCCGGACGCCCTCCACTTGGCCCACAGGACCTGAGCCCCACCCCCCCTCCTTGGACTTGTCCCACCCCGCGTCCCGGGCGCCGGCTCCCGCGCGGGTCGGGCCGTCTGCGCAGGTGCGTCTCCGACCCCGCCCACAGGTGACGTCAGCGCGGCCGTTTAGGTCCTCAGACGTAGCCGCGCGCGATTTAAAAGCTGCGGATTCGCGGAGGGCAAGATGGGATCTCCGTGGCCAGGTGAGGCTGGGCGTGCGGAGGCGCCCGGACGGCCGGCGCGAGGCGAGGGTCCCGCGGCCAGGCACGCAGGGCTGGCCTGAGCCGAGCTGCGGCGTTCTCGGCCTTGTCGTTGACTTTGCTGTCGGCGGGCCGAGGGGGCCCGGCGCGGGAGGAGGGGAGGGCCGCGCGTGCGCTCCGCCAATCAGGACGCGGCCTGGGCCGGCCTCCTCCGGTTGGCGGGCGGAAACCCTTCTCCCTGGGTTGCTTCACCCGGCCCGGGTCTCTTCGTTCAAAAGATGCTTTTCTTGGAAGGCTCGTTCGGCCATGGAAGCGTTGTGGTGACCGCTGTATGCTTAGCACGCTTGCATTAATTTTTCATTCATTCCACAAGTACTGAATGCCCCCTTTGGGCTAGGCAGGCGCCCTGATAGACGCAGAGATACAGTAAAGAACAAAACAAGTAAGAGTCCAGCCTATCAGAGCTTGTATTGTAGTTGGGGAGACACAGTAAACAAACGAAGTACTTTACAGGTGAGACCGAGGTCCAGTGTGTGATGAGAATCCAGAGTTGGGAGGAGGGGCCCTCTAGATTAGGGATTCAGGGAAGCGCTTAGCAGAGACTGGGAAAGAAACGTGTTTCAGGCAGAGGAGCGAGTGCAAAAAAACCAAAAAGGCTAGCCCTGGCCGGTTTGGCTCAGCGGTTAGAGCGTCCGCCTGCGGTCCAGAGAGACCCGGGTTCGGTTCCCGCTAAGGGAACCTCGGTTGCAGTTTGTCCCCGGCCCTGGTTGGGTTGTGCGAGTGGCGGCCACTCGATGTGTCCCTTTCACTTACATGTTTCTCTCTCCTTCCTGCTGTATCTGAACAACAACAACAAAAAGCAAACAGGCTAACAGGAAAGAGCTTGGCTTGGGCTAGGACAGAACATCTTAACTAAACAGTGAGCAAGGTCTCAGATGAGCAGGGTCTCTATAGGTCTTGATAAGACATTTGGGAGTTATATTTTGGACCCCATAAATCACTTACATGAGAGACTGGTGAAGGGAAGGGGGTCAGTAAACATTTGGATAAGAAATTGCCATTTAGGGAAGTGGCCTATGGACTGAGAAGTAAATTTGGGCATCATCATCATCGATTGTAAAACCATGGGAACAGGTGAGAACACTAGGAAGAGCCTGTAGAGAAAACACTCAGGACCCACATTTAGAAGCTGGATAGAAGGAAGAGCTGGAAAAGCTGAGAAGATAGTGGTATAGAAGCCAAGCATGTTTCAAGAAACAGGGTTGTCAGCTGTTTCAAATGCTGCTGAAGCTCAAGAGAGATGAGGCCTGAAAAGTGTTGGATTTGGCTACATGAAAGTTGTGGGTGATCTTAGCAAGTTTTCATAAGGTGGTAGGAATGGGGCCAGACCAGAGGGAGCTGAAAATGAGTAGGAGGTGAGGAAGAGGGTGCAGAAAATGATTTTGAGCTCAGTAACCATCTGTTGAATGAACGGATGCATGTCAACAGGAATGCAAGAAATCAGAGAAAGAATGTTCCAAGAGTGGAAGCGTGCCTCTAATCCTCACCTTGATTCTCTTAGACAAGTTCCACCTTCAGTGCTTTCTATTTCTGTTCCGTTTTCTTCTCCCAAGGTCTCCCTCCCTCCCTTCCTTTTAGTGCCCCCATCTAGTCACAGGTCCTCTTGATTCAGTCTCTAAAAATGTCTCTTGCCTCCTTCCATTTTTACTTTCTTTTTCTTTTGTTTGTTTTGACCTCAGCTGAGAATTATGTTAATAATCACTTTTCAGCCTTTGGGAAGCTATCAGGGAACACGTGAAGTTCTTGTTTCATTTACTGTTTCCAGTTTCTCCCATCTTCTTTTGAATCTGCTCTTTTGACTTCTCCTCCCCCTGCCACTCTAGGAAAACTGCTCCTGAAGATCGCCAATAACCTGTAGGTTGCTAAGTGCAGTGATCAGTTCTGAGTCCTCATCTAATTTGACCTGTCAGCTGCATTTGACAGTCATCATTCCTTCCTCCCTCCTGACTTGTAGAACAACACATTCCCCTGGTTTTCTCCCTACCTTGCTACTTGGCCATTCCCCATCTCTTTTGCTGGTTCTTCATTCTTTCCTTCTCTTTAAACTTTTTTTTTTTTTTTTAATCCTCACCTGAGGACTCTTTTGCATTTATCTTCAGATAGAGCGGGAGGGAGAGAGGAAGGAAGAGAGAGAAAGGGAGAAACATCAATATGAAAGAGAGATACTGACTGCTTGCTACCTACACAACCCTAGCCAGGACTGGGGATGAATTGTAACCGAGGTATGTGCCCTTGGCGGATCTGAACCCAGGACTCTCCAGTCCACAGGCCAACGCTCTAACTGCTGAGGAAAACTGGCCAGGGCTCCTTCTCTTTAAACTTTTTAAGTATTTTAGAACTCAGCCTTCTGCTTTTCTCTTTCTGTACTCATTTATTTGGAGTTCTCATCTACTCTTACAGATTTGAATACCCTATATATGCTTATGACATCCACATTTATGTATGCAGCCCAGAATTTCTCCCTAAACTCTAGGCTTAAATATCTGCTCTCTATGTCCCAGTGGGATGACTAGTAAGCATCTGAAGCCTAGCATGTCTAGAACTGAGCCCTGATCGTGCCCCTTTCCCCACAACTATGCTTCTCCTGCAGCCTTTTTTCTCCGGTCGATCGTGGCAGTTCTGTTGCATCAGACGTTCAGGGTAACTTTAGAGTTACCCTTGATTCTTCTGTTTTCTCTCATGCCCACGTTTAATCCATCAGGAGATCATGTGGGCTCTGTCTTGAGACTATATCCAGTGTCTAACTAGTTCTTACTACTTCATACCACCTCTCTGGTCTGTGCCACCATCATTTCTTTCATGTGGAGTGAGCAGGGAAGTGATTGGATGTGGTGGGAAGGGGAATAAAGAGGTGGTATAGCCCTGGCTAGTTTGGCTCAGCGGTTAGAGCGCCGGCCTGCGGTCCGGAGAGACCCGGGTTCGGTTCCCGCTAAGGGCACGTACCTCGGTTGCAGTTTGTCCCCGGCCCTGGTTGGTCGTGCGGGTGGCAGCCACTCGATGTGTCCCTTTCACGTCGATGTTTCTCTCTCTCTCCCTTCCTCTCTCTCCCTCCCACTCTACCTGAACAAAAAATGGAAAAATATCCTCGGGTGAGGATAAAAAAAAAAAAAATAAAGAGGTGGTATAAGACAACACAGATGTATTCTCTTGCAGTTCTGGACTCAAGTCGAAAATCAGGGCATCAGCAGGGTTGCGTTCATTCTGGAGGCTTTAGGGAAGGGTCTGTTTCTGTGCCTTTTCAGCTTGTAGAGGCCACCAACATTCCTTGGCTTGGGGTCCCTCCCTCCCATCAGTCTACTCTCTTGCTTCTGTCCTCACATCTCTGACTCTGACCCTCCTGCTTCCCTCTATAAGGACAATTGTGATTACATTGAGGACTGCATATCCAGTTATTGGTAGTTGCCTCCTTATCCGTCTTCCTGCTTGTCAGTTCTGTTCCCTTTTCAGTCTGTTTTCATCACAATGGCCACTGGAATTTTCTTGAAGCGTAACTTGGATCACTTTATTCTTCTTACCATCATCCAATCACTTCTCTTCCCACTCTCCCTGAAAGCCTCAGTCTTTACAGTGGCCCATGAACAAGGCTCTTCGCCTCTGCCAGCTGTCCTTCCCTTATCCTGACTTGTGGGTGTCCCTACCCTATCCCTCTCTCACTCCACTTCAGCCACATGGCCCCTCAGGCAGGCCAGGCATGTTCCAGCCCCTGTGCTTACAGTTCCTCTGCCTCAGTGTAGCTTCCCCCAAAGATCCGTATGGTCTTTTTTTCCCCCCCTTTCTTGATTACAGTTGGCCCTCATTTATTGCGGTTAATCAATTCCAGACACTGCCGTGATAAATGAATTTCAACAAAGTAGGATTCTTTATTTATAAATCAAATATTTTCGCAGAGCATAGAAAACCTGTTTACGACCTTCTAAATACAAGAGCAAAGATGCTTCTGATGCATAGCGATGTAGAAGGGTGTATGAGAGAAATGAACTTGCATAAGGCTGAGCCATTCAGTGGCCAGGATAGGAAGAGGCTAGGATAGCCAGTCAGTGAACAGCACACTCTGATTGGCTTCGTTTCACCACACCCAATTTTTTGGAAAAAAGTTATTGCCCACACACAAGGAGTGGTGGAACAGTTGCACTTGGCATTGAAGGCTTTGCAGGGGTCCTCGAATACATAGGCCTACAGTCCATACGTACAGTGATTTTAATTGTAATACAGGGGTATATAATTGACAGACAACCGAGTGCGCGCTGTATTGTTTTCACTGTCTTGATCAACTTTTTAATGAATATATTTGAAAAAACCACGATAAAATGAAGCCGCGAAAGTCAAAGCACAAAGTGGTGAGAGATGACTATATAGAGAGAGAGGAAGGGAGAGGGGGAGAGAGAGAGAAACATCTATGAGAGAACATCGATTGGCTGCCTCCTGCATGCCTCCCATTGGAGATTAGGCCCACAACCTGGGCATGTGTCCTGACTGGGTATTGAACTGGTGACCTCTTGGTGCATCGGTCCACACTCAACCACTGAGCCACACCGGCCGTACAGATCTGTGTGGTCTTGATTCTGAGGCTCCCTTCTTAGTGAAGCCTTTCCTGACCACAGTATTTAAAACCAGCCTCCACCGCCCTGGCCAGTTTGGCTCAGCGGTTAGAGCGTCGGCCTGTGGTCGGAGAGACCCAGGTTCGGTTCCCGCTAAGGGCACGTACTTCGGTTGCAGTTTGTCCCCGGCCCTGGTTGGTCGTGCGGGTGGCAGCCACTCGATGTGTCCCTTCACGTCGATGTTTCTCTCTCTCTCTCCCTTCCTTTCTCTCTCTCCCACTCTATCTGTACAAAAAATGGAGGAATGTCCTCGGGTGAGGATAAAAATAAAAAATAAATAAATAAAACCAGCCTCCACCTCCATTCCTTCATCCTCCTTCCAGGCTTTACTTTTCTCCACAGTGCCTATCTCCATCCAGCATGCCATCTATTGGCTGACTTCTTGTTATGAAAGGGTTAAATACACAGGGACATTGAAAGGTGAAGACAATAAACAACTTATAATCACTACCTAGATTCAATAATTGCTAATTGGCCATACTTACTTGAACTTCCCCGCCCCCTTACATTCATATATTTTTAACTGATTCAGATGAAAGTTGCACACATTATGTTACATCACCCCTAAATTGTTTCTCATGGATCTCCTGAAAGTAAGGATATTCTTCTGCATACCATGATAATCATTATCACACCTAAGAAAATAAAAATTAGTTTTAAATTAAAAATCAATGTTGTCTTATATTCAGATTATATTCCAAATTTCCCTTTTTGTCCCCAAAATGTTTATAGGTGATATTTTTGTTTGGCCAAGGATTGGCTGAAAGTTCAGATGTTATTTTTGTATGATTCTTTGTTTTCTAGTAATTGAGAAGAGCCCCTATTTTTTTTTGACAGTGACTTTTTTGAGAGACTAAGTCAGTTGTCTTATAAACTGTACCCTTTCTGGATTTGTCTGAGTTTTTCCTTGTGATATCCTTATTTCTCTGCCCCTATATTTCTTATGAAATGGAAGTTAGATTTAAAATCTTGGTTAAATTTAGGTTACCCATGTTTGGCAAAAATATTTTCTGTATATTGTGAATTTCATATATTGTCCCATTAGGAGATGAGTCAGTTTCAAGCTTTCTCATTTTTAGAAAGGCTACATTGATTGCTTGGTTAGCATGGTGACTGCTAGGTCTATTGTAAAAACCATTTTTTCCTTTGCCGTTAGCAAGTAATCTGTGAGTGTTTTGGCACTAATATATATATATATATATATATATATTTGGTTTACGTATTTGTGTTGTTTATTCTCTGTGTCCTGCTGGGATTAGAACCTAGCTTGTCTGACTCGATGCCTCACCCTTATCTCAGCATCTCTCTCACTTGCCCAGGAATATGGTTATATGTGTCTGTTGTTCTGTTAGTTGTGAACTTATCAGAGGCAGCAACTTTCTCTTACCCACCTTTATATCCTAACAGTGCTTTAGGTTCACATAGTGGATATTTGTCCCAGATGGGCAAGGAAGCATCAGAAACCCATCATCCCCGCCCCCCACCAAGAAATCCAGTCTGTAGAGGTTCTAGCCATAGACTCTTAGAGTTGGCAACGATCTTGGTGGGCAGATGTGCTGTGTCCTTCCACCCTTTGATGGGCCCCAAGCACCCTTTAGGTCTAGGAAACATTCTAGAAGGTTTTTGAGCAAGTGTTTTGTTCCATTACTGTGAGCCATAATGAATTACTGTTCTTCAGAGACTCGTGGACACCCACTCAGTGTGTCACCGTCAAAACGGGTGTTCTCAATGCCCCCACCTAAGAAGGCTCCTCTCAACACTCCTGGCACCCCAGTTCTTGAAGACTTCCCTCAGAATGATGATGAAAAGGAGCGTCTGCAGCGGAGACGCTCCCGGGCCTTTGAGCTGCAGTTCAGCACAGACTCGCCCCATCTGCTGGCCTCCCCCTCCAGTAGGTGAGTGTGTTCTGGGCTGTCTCTTGGGGTGGTCCTGATGTGGGGTACGTGGGTCTGGCCTCCACACTACCTTATGGATTCTGGGTCTTGATATTTGAAATGTTACAGCATCATGGATCCTTGTCATAGTTTTTAATTTTTGTTTTTCATTTAGGAATATTGACCTTTCAGCTACGATTCCGAAGTTCACAAACACACAGATTGCAGACCATTATTCCACTTGTATCAAACTGTCCACTGAAAATGTGAGTATCTGCTGGTCCATCAGCTAAGCTTCTGCAGTTTGAGCACTGGGGAAGTCTAGCCTTCTTGATTCCATTGAGAATGCATGATCTATAATAACTGTGTACTTTTATTCTCCAGCGACCTTTTTTGGTTAATCCTAACCTGAGGATATATTTTCCATTGATCCCCCCCGCCCCGAGTGGGAGGGGGAAAGAAACATCGATATGAGAGATACACCTCGATTAGTTGCCTTTTGCACGCACCCCAACCAATGCCAGGGATCAAATGCCACCCTTCAGTGTGCAGGCCGATGCTCTAACCAAAAAGCAACATCAGCCAGGGCTCCAGGGACTCCTCTTGATTTTTTTAGAGACGGGAAGGGAGAGAGAGAGAGAAATATCGATGTGAGACAGAGACATCGATTGGCTGCCTCCTGCACAACCCTCACTGGGGATCGAGCCCACAACCTGGGCATGTGCCCTGACTGGGAATGAACTGGGACCTTTCAGTCCATAGGACAGTACTCAATCCACTGAGCCACACCCGCTGGGCTCCAGCAACTTTTTTTTTTATCCTCACCCGAGGACATTTTTGTTCCATCTTTTGTTCAGATAGAGTGGAAGGGCGGGAGGGAGAGAGAGAGAAACATCGACGTGAAAGGGACACATCGAGTGGCTGCCACCCACACGACCAACCAGGGTCGGGGACAAACTACAACCGAGGTACGTGCCCTTAGTGGGAACCGAACCCGGGTCTCTCGACCGCAGGCCGACACTCCAACCGCTGAGCCAAACCGGCTAGGGCTCCAGCAACTCTTCTTAATGTTGGTGTTTTCAATATGGTTTTACTGTTTCTTATAGATCTTTGGTGCATCTTCTGGCATGTAGCCTTCCACCTGCAGTATATCAGCATGGCTAGGGGTAATAGTGTGAATTCTAGAGCAGATAGTAGAGACATAGTAGAGTTGTGGAGCTAATTGTGAGTTTTAGAGTTCACTTAAGTTTGAATCCTATCTCTGCCACTTACACGCTGTGTGGCCTTGGCAAGTCACCCAACCAATTTTGCTGCAGGGTCCTTCGTAAAATGAGAATGAGAATAGTGCCTGCTCATATAGAGTTGTTCTGAGGGTGATGGGGTCCCTTCATGTGCAATGTTTTGATTGGAGCCTGCACCCAGTGAGTACTTGGGAGTCATGTGCTGTCACTCTCAAGGCCTTGAGAATAAGGAGGGACACATATGTGTTTAGCTATGTCCCCAAGTATTTGTGGGAATTGATATCTGTGGCAAGATGTATGATATCCCTGTTTAAAAACTTAGCTACCTCTCAGGGTAGCATCATTTATGTGAGCCTGGGCTATAAATAACAAGCCTTTCTGTATTTTCTCTTTCTAGAAAATCACTACCAAGAATGCTTTTGGTTTGCACTTGATTGATTTCATGTCAGAAATTCTTAAACAGAAAGACACTGAACTGACCAACTTTAAAGTAAGAAGGATGTCTGTCTACCTTTTCTTGCATCTGAATTAATGATGATTATTTTTGATACTTAGCATAGCACAATCATTGAATTTTACAAATATTTGAGTGCATTCCTTATTTAAGACAATTTATTAACTTCTTTACCTTCTTTCCTAAGCTGATAAAATGTAGAGAAGCTACTTTCTGTTATATTCTGTGTAATCCCTATCTGTCTTAGGGGATGGTTGTCATTTTTTTAGTAAGGGCAAGTAAATATTTTATGAAGCTTGCTGTGTTTTGCTTGTTCAGCAGTTCCATTTTTATGTATCCCCACCAGTACATCTCTGCTTGTTTGAGTAGGTGGCTGCGGGGACTCTGGATGCCAGCACCAAGATCTATGCTGTGCGTGTGGATGCCGTCCATGCTGACGTGTACAGAGTCCTTGGGGGGCTGGGCAAAGATGCACCGTCCCCGGAAGAGACAGAGAGCCATGGTGCAGGTACATGGGTGGGGATCTGGATTTAAGGGCTTTTTAAAGGGTGTGGCAGGTTGTTATTTGAGTAATATACTGGAATGAAGTCACCAGAAGTCAGTGATCTCATCTGGTAAAGACGTGGACATTTTCAGATTTGTCTGTAAGAAGCTTTTAGATTTTATTTAGGCCAGGTTGAGTGAACATCACCAATTAGGGAACTTCCAATTTGGGGGTCTTTTGGAAATTAACTTGTCTAAGAAGCTTAATTGAGTAGTTTGGTTTCTCCCTCAGCTGCAGATCAGATGTGTTGTGAGAGAATGGCGTGTGTTTGAGTCACAGTCTCTCTTTAGAGTTCTGAGGAACTTGAAGTTCAGTTGCACCCTCCCAAGCAGTCCTCGCAGTACGCTGTCTTATTCCTTCTTTAGATGGAAGTGCGACTGAAATGGGAACAATGAAGAGGGCTCCAAAGCCCAAGAAGAAGCACTCACACAAAACCATCGAGCAGAATATAAACAACCTCAATGTCTCTGAGGCAGATCGGAAGTGCGAGGTGAGGAGCTGTGGGCACAGTGTGGTCTCTGACTCATTCAGGCCCTATGGGCTGAGGCTGCCTTGCTGATTTGTGCTTACTTAGGCCTCAAAGGGGTAAAATGTTCAAATGGTCTCTTCAATATCATTCTTTAGCATTGCAGTGAAGATTGAAGGGGGCGAGTCCCTGCTTTCCCTCAATGTTTCATAATGACGGAGTGGAAAAAGATGACAAATTACCGAGATATCTGATTAAAACATTTCTTTTCTTTCCTAGTACATGCAGCAGTGATAGAGATAGCGAGCATTTATTCTGTACTTGCTGAGCATATTGTGCTGCCCTGAGCCTGTGTATGTCAATTCTTTTCATCCTTACAACATCCTTGTTACATTTTATGAAGAGGTGATTGAGGTGCAGGGCTGTTAAGGACCATGGCCCAAGATGACACAGCTAGTCTGTAGCCTGAATGTGAAGCTAAATGGTCTGCTCCTGAGTCTTTGCTCTAAGCAACCAACACAGTCTGGCAAATCCTAAGGAGTCTGCTTGAAGGAATGGCACTGGCAGCTTCATTTATAACTGTCAGTTAATTTGAAGCAAGTTGCCACAAATATTTTTTAAACTTTTGCTATTCAAACCAGTACCTCTGAACATTTTTGTACATATCATCTTTGCACTCTTCTGGGAGTACATCTATAAAAAAATTCTGAGAGAATTTCCACTGTCCTCACAAAAGGTTGTACCAATTTACTCTCCCACCAACAATGGACTAAATTACCTCCTTGTTTTATCTCTATGACATTCATAAATGGTCATTAAGGTCATGAGACTGCACTTAATCACCAAGGAGACACATACATGTGGAAGAAGGACAGCCCTGGGATGTTTCAGTTTTAAGAGTTCAAAAAGCTGAAGAAACATGCAGTAGGTAGGAGGAAAGCCAGGAGAGTGTGGTGTCCAAATGAGGGAGTGGGGGAGTTTCAGGGAGTGGGAAATGATGAGCCACATCAAATGTGGCAACCGGAGGCTTCTGGTGAGCTTGGAGGGCCCCTTGGAGCTGAAGCTCAAACCTCCAAGGAAGGGGTGCCACTTGGCTGTGCCGGTATCCCTGAATTTGGAAGAGGGTCTCGTGGGCTAATGACTCAAAGGACATGTTGGTTGGTGCTGGTGTCTCTGAAGGACACACAGTGAAGCTGGTTTTGTGAGTGTGAGAAAAAGTACAGATCGAATGGAGCTACTGCTATGGGTAGGACCTGTCATGTCTGGGAGGAAGAAGCGCTGCTGGGTGACACAGAAATAGGAAGCCGACAGAAAGAAGCAAGTCCCTTCTCCCTCTAGCCCTGCAGTCTCCTCCTGGTGCCCCCTGTTGATGGATCCCAACAGCAAGCTGCTGGCAAAGCCGAAATGTGGCCCCAGACCCAGCATCACAGAGAAAGGATAGAAGGTAGGTTTGGAGCTCAGAGGCAGGAGCTTAATAACTGGCAGAGAGGTAAAGTGTCATAATCTCTACTTCCGAAAAAGTTGGAGGTGGGGGTGGTTAGAGAAAGAAAATATGCAAAATGCTACCCATTGGGGAATCTAGGTAGAAGTTACATGGAGATTCATATCACTGTTTCAGCATTCTTGTAGGCTTGAAGTTTTTCATAATAAATGGAAAGAAACTGAGTATAGGCTGCTGTTTTAAAGAGGAATGCATTGACAAATGGAGGGGAAAGTAAAGTCTAGAAGTTTCGTATTTTTTTAAATGGGAGACTTAATAGCATGTTTGTCTATTGATGCAATAATCTAGTGGGAAGGAATTATTGCCAATGCAGAAAATAATGGAGAAATGTTAGCATGGCATCCTTGAACACATGGGAAGGGAAGGGAAGAGGATGGACACCATGGATGGGCCGGACCAAGGAGCCCATGCCAATGGGAGATGGGTGCATGTTTCCATTCTGGATGTTCTCTTCTGGTTGAGTGGTCCCCCCCACTCCCACCCCAGTGAAATAGGAAGCCAGATCATCAACTGACAGAGTGTTGGAGGTTTGAGGAGAGAAAAAGGTAGGAAAGAGTCATCTGGGGGTAAGAAAATGGACTAGGAAAATATAGTTCATTTGCCAGACAACACTTAGGGTCCACCTGATGGATTTGAAGTGAGGTCAACATGACTTTGTTTCTTCACTGTGACTGGCTATGAGGGTGTAAGTGTAGAGTAGGCAAAAAGTCGGATTTAACAGAATTGTGTTTAGCTGAGTGAATGTGACAGAAAGAGGCTGGAGTTAAGAGCATGTGCACAAGAGTGGTCACAATCATTGCTAATGGAGTTTTAGCTGGGAAAGAAGGCAGTGAGGGGCAGCATAAAGCCATTTGATCAGTAGATGTGGGGCCTGGTGGGATCAGAGACTTGGTGTTGGAGACACCAAGTTGTAGGCTATAAAGGTGGGAGGTGGTTATCAGAGGCACTTAGAATTGAGGGTATGGAGAGGTGACAGTCATGGTTACTGGTTCAGTTTGGAGCAAAAGGCAGAGGAGATGTGGAGGTCATGCTAGGGCCTCTCTTGAGTCCCAGGATCTTAGGATGAAGCTCAAGACCATAGAAGGAGAGGATATCAAGGAACTGGCAGACCACAATGTTGGATGAATCTACATATAGATATTGCAATCACTGAAATCTACGACGGCAGTAAAGTTAGAAAATATGAGCCAAGAGCTAGTATTAACATCTCCCAAGAAGGGGTAGGCCTAGGGATTATAACACAGATGGGCGAGGGTTATAAAGTCTGATGTTATGTTCAAAGCTGAGGGTTTTAGAAATCAGGAAGAGCAGTTGAGAAGCTTCAGTGAAGAGCAGGGAAGTCACTAGACCTTGCTGGGCCAGTGGTTTGAGTGTGGCGGGGAAGGAAGCAGCACCCTAGAGAGGCCTACAGTGCAAGCAGTATCCTTGGGTGAGCACTGTCTCATTTACAGTGGTGCTCCACAGCCTTTTGTCATTGTCTCCCACCCTTCAGAGCCTTTTAGATATTTTGTTCTTACCCCTCCCCCCTTGAAATTAATTATTAAGAAATAAGGGTTGAGGTTTGGAGAGCCACAAATAATTATACTTGCTCAGATTTTTTTTCACCCTCTCTCAAGAATTTTTAGCCCCTTGAGAGTGGTATCCCTCCCGCTGAGAATAAATGAGTTAGAGCACGTAGGTGGCAAGAGGAGTGGGGACTAGGACTTATGTTGATGACTAAGGGCCCTGGAGGGAAGCATCAGCTGTTAGAAAGGAGGACATGGGTCCGAAGGGGGGTCGGCAATGTACAGGATTTAGAGCCTGGGAAATACAGAACCCTGGGATCTTAGGTCTTTTATGTGTGGCAAATAAGGGCAATAATGTGATTCGTCTTGTTGGTCTCGCAGCAGATGGTAGTAGTAAGGTTGAGAGGATGGGGCTAGGTTGACTCTGAGTGGTGGGGCAGTTCCACTCTGGGCTGCCCGGTGATACAGTCAGTGTTGGTGTGAGGACTGTGTGTGGATGTGCAGGGAGGGGAGAGGCAGGGTGGCAGGCGTTCTGGGGGAGGGAGCCAGTGTTGACCTTAGGTGGCACCATACTTGTAGGCAGATGATGTGATGTTCTGATCCTGGTCCCACTGTCTTAGTTGTGTGACCTGCGGAAAGGTTCTGAATCTCACTTTGTTAAACTATTAGGCAGCACTGATGTCACCCACACGCAGGTTTTGTGTTAGAGAATCAGGTGATGGCAAAGTGTTTTATCCATGTAGTGTGCTGAACGCATCTGGAGAGGAGCCATGAAATCATCTCCCCTCTTCCTTTCCTTTCCCAAGTCCTCCTTGTTTTTTTCTCCTCTGATTATCTGAATATTGATTTCACTGTCATTCTTTCTTTTGCTTCTGGTTCTGCAGTAAAATGTTTTATTCAACAGTAGGGTTGGGAATTCTGTTTTCAACCATCTTATTTCTTACCAGGCAGACCCAGTACTGGGGAGCCTGAGAGGCTTGCAGCCGCCTCTCGTACTATAGAGACAGGCGAGCAAGCAGCGCTGCTCCCCTGAGCTGGCTGTTCGGGCTGTGGTGTGTTTATGCCAAGTGAAATCAGTCTTCAGCACCAAGTACCCCAGTCCTGGAGAGCTGGGTTTGCTCTGTCATCTGCCATAAACTTGTAGCAGCCAAAGGTACGGATAATGAAAAAGTGAGGGAGAGGGGGGCAATTACAAACTTAGAATTTGAAGTTTCAATTGTTTATTGAAGTTGAGGTCGCTTGGAGGTGGTGTGGAAATTAGAGAGCAGCTGTTCGTGGTATGTCTAGACTGGCGAGAACAGTGTGTGTGAGCTCACCTGTTTCGGACACAGCTCTCTACTGTGTGCTCAGTTTATGGAAGAGGTGGACTGTGAACTGGGCCTTGAAGGTAGGGTAGGTCTTTGACAGGTGGGCATTGCCAGAAAGGTGATTCTAGGCAGAAGCAGAAGCACCAGCCACAAACAGGGAAGTTTTGGTTCTTGAGGGACCTGGGCAGTATACATGTCAGCTGGAGTTGGGGATTTACCCTGAGGCTGAAACAGCCCGAGACTTTACATGCATCTGCCGCCTACCACAGCCTTCTTTACTGTTTTTCTTCCTTGCTGTGGACCCTTGTTTCAGAAGGTTCATCTAGCTCTGGCCGGGTAACTCAGTTGATTGGAGTATTGTCCCTACACCAAGAGGTTGCGGGTTTGATGCCTGGTCAAGGCATGTATGGAGGCAACCAACTGATGTTCCCTCCCCCCCTCCCCCCCGTCTTTCCCTCTCTCTCTCTCTTTCTCTTCTTCTCTTGCTCTAAAATCATTGAACATATCCTCGGGTGAAGATAAAAAAAATTCATCTACCCAGACTGCAGCCAGCAGTAATTCATTTTCTCACGAAATTACTCAAAGACGTCAGTCAGATCTAATGTACATGAAAGAACCATTGTTCTCACACTGGCATGATATGATTCTAGATAAAAATGAGGAAAATTATCTTAGTGTTTTCAGCTTTAATATGGGTCATTGCACAGTTTCCATGTTAACTCTTTGAAATGCTGGGTTTTGTTATTCAACACACAAGCCCTCTGCTTAGCATCTGAGGAAGGGAATAGAGACCAAAGACAGGGTTAACTCAGCTGAAGACTGAGGACTGTGATGGTGGTAGTGGGGTGGGAAGGAAGGGATAGATGGTGGAGATGCACTGGGAGGAAAACCCACCGAACTGCGTGACTGACTGGGTGAGGCGACAGGGAGAATGTGTAGGGACACATGTGCCACCCTGGGGCTGTTGAGATGGGTTATTGGGAAGATAAGAGGAGACTCTCAGTTCTGGTGAGGTCAGGCTCAGAGCTCAGGGAGCCAGGAAAGACCAGAGAGCCACATCTGTCATCATATCCAAGGCTTCTCTCCCCATAGTAGCTACATCCTGAGATATCAGGAAGACCTGTGAACCCAGTGCCCAACCTATTCCTGTGACAAAGCCACATGTAGAGTCCCAGATGACTTCTCCTTTCTTGCCACATGTGCATGTACTTTGCCCTGTCCCCGTTCTTATGTCCTGTGCTTGCTTTGGGCTTGGTGTCACATGGCTGTACCATTCTTGCTTTTCAACCCAACCTGGGGGGCCTTCTTACCACCTCTCCCTGCTTTACCCAGCCTTCTAGCCTGGCTGACTACCTGTTCTTTGCCTGGATCTCTTGGTTGCATTTTCCCAAATCTTTTTTTTTTTTTTTTAACTTATCTTTATTGTTGACCGTATTACAGATACCCCCCCCCCTTTCCCCTCATTGACCCCCCTCCTCCCCAATCCTGCCCCCCTTCTGCCTTCCCCACACTATTGTTTGTGTCCATTGGTCATGCATATATGCATAGAAGTTCTTTGGTTTATCTCTTCCTGCCCTCCCTCCCCCCTTCCCTTTGAGGTTCATCAGTCTAACAACCAATTCCTTCATCTTCTTTACCCATCCCCCAGGTCCCCTCCCATTTGGCAAGCAACAAAAAGTTCTCTGTATCTTCGAGTCTGTTTCTGTTCTGCTTGCTCTTTTGTTTGTAGATTCAACTGTTGATAGGTATGTATTTATTGCCATTTTATTGTTCATATTTTTGTTCTCTTTCAAGAAGACCCTTCAGCATTTCATATAATACTGGTTTGGTGATGATGAACTCCTTTAGCTTTTTCTTGTCTGGGAAGTTCTTTATATGTCCATCGATTCTAAATGACAGCTTTGCAGGATAGAGTACTCTTGGTTGTGGGTTCTTGCTTTTCATCACTCTGAATCTCTCTTGCCACTCCTTTCTGGCCTGCAAAGTTTCTTTTGAGAAATCAGCTGACAGTCTTATGGGTGCTCCTGTTGTAGGTAACTAACTGCTTTTCTCTGCTGCATTTAAAATTCTCTCTGTGTCTTTAACCTTTGGCATTTTGATGATGGTGTGTCTTGGTATGGACCTCTTGGGGTTCATCTTGTTTGGGACTCTCTGTGCTTCCTGGACTTGTATGTCTGTTCCTTCACCAAGTTAGAGAAGTTTTCTGGCATTATTATTATTTTTTTCTATTCTTAACTCATCTTTATTGTTGAGTGTATTATGGATGTCCCCCCTTTTTTCCTCATTAACTCCTTCCTCCCTAATCCCACCCCCCTCCAGCCTTCCCCACACTATTGTCGGTGTCCATTGTTTATGCATATATACATAGAAGTTCTTTGATTTATCTCATCCCCCCCCTTTGAGGTTCATCAAATTTGTACTTCTTAATTCCTTCATCTTTTTTACCCATTCCCCCAGCCCCCACCCATCTGGCAAGCCATAAAAAGTTTTCAGTATTTATGAGTCTGTTTTTGTTCTGCTTGCTCATTTTGTTTGTAGATTTAATTGTTGATAGATATGTATTAATTGCCATTTTATTCATATTTTTGTTCTTCTCCTCCTTTGAGAAGACCCTTCAGCATTTCATATAATATTGGTTTGGTGGTGATGAACTCCTTTAGCTTTTTCTTGTCTGGGAAGTTCTTTATATGTCCATCGATTCTAAATGACAGCTTTACAGGATAGAGTAGTCTTGGTTGTAGGTCGTTGCTGTTCATCACCTTGAATATCTCTTGCCACTCCTTTCTGGCCTGCAAAGTTTCTTTTGAGAAATCAGCTGACAGTCTTATGGGTGCTCCTTTGTAGGTTACAGACTACTTTTCTCTTGCTGCTTTTAAAATTCTCTCTGTGTCTTGAACCTTTTGCATTTTGATGATGATGTGTCTTGGTGTGGACCTCTTCGGGTTCATCTTGTTTGGGACTCTCTGGGCTTCCTGGACTTGTATGTTTGTTTCCTTCACCAAGTTAGGGAAGTTTTCTGTCATTATTGTTTCAAATAGGTTTTCGATTTCTTGTTCTCTCTCTTCTCCTTCTGGCATCCCTATTATGCAAATGTTGGCACACTTGAAGTTGTCCCAGAGGCTCCTTACACTATTCTCATTTTTTTTTTATCCTCACCCGAGGACGTTTTTTCGATATTTTTTGTTCAGATAGAGTGGGAGGGAGAGAGAGGAAGAGAGAGAGAGAAACATCGATGTGAAAGGGACACATCGAGTGGCTACCACCCACACGACCCAACCAGGGCCGGGGACAAACTGCAACCGAGGTACATGCCCTTAGCGGAACCAAACCCGGGTCTCTCTAGACCGCAGGCCAACGCTCTAACCGCTGAGCCAAACCAGCCAGGGCTATTCTCATTTTTTTGTATTCTTTTTTTCTTCTTGCTGTTCTGATTAGGTGTTTTTGCTTCCTTATATTCCAAATAGATGGTTTGCTTCTTGCTTTACCTACTCTACTATTGAATCTGTGTAAATTATTCTTTATTTCAGTTAGTGCATCCTTTGTTTCTGACTGGTCCTTTTTTATGTTGTTGATGTTCTCACTAAGTTCCTTGAAGGTCTCCTTAAGTCCCTTGAATGTCTCACCTAGTTCCTTGAGCAACCTTTTAACCTATTTTCTGAACTGTGCATCTGATTGAGAGCTTATCTCCATTTTGGTTAATTCTTTTCCTGGAGTTTTGTTCTTTTCTTTCATTTGGGACATATTTCTTTGTCTCTTCATTTGGGCTGCTTCCCTGTGATTGTTTCTATGTATTAGGTAGAGTTGCTGTGTCTCCTAGGCTTCATAGGGTGGCCTACTGTAGTAGGTGTCCTGTCGGATCCAGTGGCACAGCTTCCCTGATCGCTCCAGCTGGGCCCTTGAGGTGCACCCCTAGTGTGGACTGTACACTTTTCTGTTGTAATTGAGTCTTGATTACTTTTGGCATGTCAATGGGAGGGATTTACTCAGACTAATCAGCTGCAAGGATCACAGGACTGGCTGTGCCCACTGGCCTCTGGCCTCTGACTCCCTTGGAGGATCAGCTGTGTAGGGGCCCACCACACAGAGCTAGATTTACTTCATCAGGGCTCTGGTACCCCCTGAGTCCACTCATTGAGTGTGTCACTTGTGGAGGTGGTTGGGTGGTGGTGTTTTGATGTGGTGTGGAGCTGTCCACTGGGTGTGCTGGCTCTGCGGCAAGGTCAGCCACTGCCTGTGTTCTACCCAGGGCCACCAGACAGAAGCTACAAAGTGATCTGCTGATGGCTGCTTCTTGTACTGGGCTTGGAGGTGCCCAGGAAAAGCCGAGTTGTGAACCAAGGCTGGCTGCTTCTGGTGCCAGGCTTGGGGCCACTTAATGAGAAGCATGCGGCTCACTGAGACCAGATGCTGCTTGTTTGAGAGATTTTAGGAAACTCTGAAGCAGGATCCAAGACAGACCAATCCTATGCTAAAACCTTTGGAAACAGCTTGGGTGGGCCCAAAAGTTGGGCGGGGCTGGGTCTCAGGGAATCACCAGGGCAGGGCAAACAGTGTGAGCCAGGTTGCTGGAGTCCCAGATATGGCACCTGTTTGCCAGCCTCGTGGGGCCGGGCTCACCAAAGGAACAGCGGCCTCCCACAGCATGTCTATCTAGGAGAAAGCTGCCCCTCCAGCTCTCACACCAATGCCGAACAATTTAGTTCTTTCCCATATGTCTCTGGTGCCTTTCAAGCTGCCTCCCCAACACTGGAGCCCAGTAGGAGCGAGTCCGAGTAAAGGGCACGGGCCCTTTAAGAGGAGCTGCCTGGGGCTCCCGCAGCCTCAGCCTCCCTCAGCCTCAGTTCCCACTGGTTTTTCCAGCCAGAAGTTATGGGACTTCTCTTCCTGGCACTGGAACCCTGAGCTGGGTGCCTCGTGTGCGACGGAGACCCCCCCCCTTTTCCTCAGAAGGACCTTCACAGCCAAGATGTCCTCCTGATTTTTATCTACTGCAACGTGTGGGACCAGTCTGTCCGCGCCTCCGCCCCTCCTACCAGTCTCATGTGACTTCTTTAATTTCGTAGTTTTAGGACTTCCGTTCAGCTCGATGTCAGGTGGTTCTGAATGATGGTTGTGTTGTAGTTTAGTTGTCATTTTGATGTGGTTGTGGGAGGAGGTGAGACCGCATTTACCTACGCCACCATCTTGACCGGAAGTCTCGCATTTTCCCAAATCTTTAACAATATTTCTGGTCTGAGGAGTAGTGGGATCTGGTGGACAGAGCCATCACACAGGCTTTTTAAGTCAGCAGAATTTGTTGATAGCATTCCACTAGAAGAAGCCATTTAACAATGGTGACTCATGGAAAGAGACCCACAGAAGGTTACTGTTCAGGCTTCAACAAATGTTTTGTTGACATGTTGTAAGCCTGTGGTCACACACTGGGTACTTCAGAGGTATCCATTTATCCATCTGACTCCATACAGCCTTTCTTTTGAACTGGTATCTGTTGGGTTGGGCCTTTGCCTGAGCAGTTAGATTATGTGCAGAAACACTTCAACCCAGTATGTACAGCTATGATGAACAGGCCCAGTGAAGGGCTTTGATTTTTTGGCTCTATCCCATAACCTTGGGTTCCCTGTGTTTGTGCTCAGATTGACCCCCTGTTTCAGAAGACAGCAGCCTCGTTTGATGAGTGCAGCACAGCAGGGGTGTTCCTCTCCACCCTCCACTGCCATGACTACAGAAGCGAGCTGCTTTTCCCTTCTGATGTCCAGACCCTCTCCAGTGCAGGGCCTCCTGAGATGCCAGATTTGGGTTGGGTAGAAATGACAGATTTAAAAGGTAAGTCCACACAATGCCTTTCACTGAGCATGTCAGTCATTAGAGTCGTGTCTTATAACAATCAGGTATAGAAAGTGCATCGCACTCTTATGTTTCTTTTTTAAATACCCAGAAGGTTCCTCTGGAGTGCCAAATTGGGCGCCTTATTGGGCAAAACTGACTTTCCCAACTTTCTGCAACATGCAGTCTAAAACAGTAGTAGTTTGTGCTACCCTGCTTCTGGCCTGTGTGTGCCTGTCTCAGATGCCCCATTAGCAGCCAGTTCACATAGTCACATATTGACGCCAACAGCTAACCTGGAGTGTCAGAGTTTGGACTTAGGAAAGGGGCTTTGAGAGACATGTCAAGTCAGAGGCGTCTCATTTTTATTTGTTACCAATCCAGGGGGACCTGCTGAGAAGTGGGCATTGGAAACTGTTCACAGATGCCTCTGTGGTGGTCTGAGAACAGACCTGCCCTGTTATGCAGCCTGGCAAGAATGTTAACCCCCTTCCGTCCTCTCCCCCCACTCCCCCACCCACTCATCCAATGCCTTCTCTTAATTTTTTTTTATCCTCACCTGAGGACATTTTTTTGCATTTATCTTCAGATGGAGAGAGGGAGGAAGAGAGAGAGAAACATAGATGTGAGAGTGACACAGCAAGTGGCCACCACCCACACAACCATAACCAGGGCTAGGGACAAACTGCAACCGAGGTACGTGCCCTTAGTGGGAACCGAACCCGGGACTCTCTGGTCCCCAGGCCAGTGCTCTAACTGCTGAGCTAAACCGGTCAGGACACTTCTTTTAGTCTTCTCTCAGATTTGCTAGGTAAAACAATTTTTTACTAACAAACTGTTTTCCAAGTTTATGTGCTCAGCTGGGGCTCTAATCCTGAGGCAGGTAATCTGTAGTCTGGGATTAAAATAACACTGATGATGGGCCATGGACTGAGCACACTTTAAGGGGGCGCTTTTGATTTCCTGACTATGGCAAAGGGCGTGGGATCCATTTCAGAGTCACAGGTAGGTACTTCAGGTTTCTGCTCAAGTGTTATACCGATCACTGGAATGCCCGCATACAGCCTACCTTTGTGTGTGGGGGTGGTGCTGTGCACCCACCCCTCCCGGAGAGCAGCCAGTCTCTGCCCGGGTACCCTAGGTGACTGCCTTCTTTTTTTTTAATCCTCACTCGAGGATATTTTTCCATTTTTTGTACAGATAGAGTGGGAGGGAGAGAGAGAGAGAGAAACATCGACGTGAAGGGACATATCGAGTGGCTGCCACCCGCACGACCGACCAGGGCCGGGGACAAACTGCAACCGAAGTACGTGCCCTTAGCGGGACCCGAACCCGGGTCTCTCCGGACCGCAGACCGACGCTCTAACCGCTGAGCCAAACCGGCCAGGGCGGTGACTGCCTTCTTCACCATCGTGCTGCTCTGATCCTTCTGGAGGTGAGGAGCATGCTCTGTTCACCTCTAGCCCTCTGTGCTCTCTGTCCTCTCCAGCACTCCTGCAGCAGTGTGCGGAAGACCGCCAGATCTGCCCCTCCCTGGCCGGGTTCCAGTTCACGCAGTGGGACAGCGAAACACATAATGAGGTGTGGTCATCCAGGGGACTTTTCAGGGCTCTGGGCATTTCTCCAGCACCTTGTGGTTTCAGTGAGACGGCATGCGATTAGTTCTGCCCAATGGGAACCAAAACTGGGCGTCATTGCCACGAGTACACAAAACATTTCTTTGGCACTTTTGTAGCAACTAAAACCCAGGGACAGCCGGGGTGGGGGGGTGGGGAGTGTAGGTAAGAGTAGGGTTGTGAGCTCCAGTGAGACCAGTGGACTGACAGTTGAATTCTGGGACCAGCTTTGAGCTCTCCTTGGATGAGGCAGCCCTCCCACTCCTGGGTACACATTTCTATCAGATTTCCTTTTTTTTTCCACTTTATAATAATTCTTTTTTATTAATTAATTTCTCTTTTTTCCCCCATTGACATCCTCTTCCCGATCCCGCCCCCTATCAGATTTACTCTTGAACATGGTTATCCCAGTGGCCACTGGTCCCTTGGGCTCTGTCAGGCTCGAGGAATTTCCTGCTCTTTGAGACTGAGTCCCTTGGCACAGAGTTTCCTGAGAAATTGTCACGTGTAACGCTTTCCTCTGTGTATTTTTAGCCTGGCCCCTTTAGCCTACTTACCACGACTTCCAAAACAAATGGTCTCCATGGACAACTCTTTTCTCTAAACATGTAGCTAATGATGCGCAGTCCTGTTTCACATTTTACAAAATGTGCCCAATGACAGGATAGCTCCATTCTGTGCTGCCCAGTATAAACTTCCTCTGTGCTTTTCTGCCGTGAGAACATTGGCTCCAGGGAGTAGGGAGGAGGCATATCCAGCGAGGCTCTTCCTCTAGTAGTGACCAAGGTGGTTATGGGAATGAGGAGAACACTCTCTTTGTCCCTCTAGTCTGTGTCGGCCCTGGTAGACAAGTTCAAGAAGAATGATCAGGTTTTTGACATCAACGCCGAGATAGAGGACAGTGACGGCGGGGACTTCCCTGACGGGCCTCTGGAGGATGACTTTGATGCCAACGACGAACCGGACCACATCGCCTCTGGGGATCACGCAGAGTTCAGGGGCTGGACGGAGCCCTGCCACAGTCAAAGCTGCCAGTAAGGCCACAGAAAATGTTCCCATGGGAATTTTCCCAGGTTTTCTGCTGGGACGGTCTCACCCCATTTCAGTGATCAGCAGGGCTTCTGTGCTGTGTTGTGCACGCAGGTGGGGCCATCCCACTCATGGTGGAATCCCACCTGCCTTTGAAATAGCTACTTCAGTGGTGGCTGTTGGTAGCACTTGCATTGGGTGGCGTGGAGGGTGCTCCCTTTCTGCACACTGCACTTGGTTCGGCTTTTGGCTCAATTGCTCCCTAGTTTAGATGGAAACAGGCTGATGTGTTGCTTACAGAAAAAACACGGGCCCTGGCCGGTTTGGCTCAGCGGTTAGAGCGTCGGCCTGCGGTCCGGAAAAAACATGGCCCCTGCATGAAGGACCAGGCAAAGTGGGCTGGGCAGTGTTGGGTTACTGGGGACAAGCAGAGCAGGGGAAACTCAATAGGGCAATAACATTGAGCATGTGGGGTGGGAAGAGATGTGATAAATTGGTCTGTAGTCATTTAAATTTTTTATTAATCTAGTAACTGTCTCAGAAAATCAGAACTTTGTTGGTCTTTATTATATGTACTTACCAGATTAGTGTTATTTTAATTTTAAATACGAATTGGAAGCAGGATCTCATGAAATCTATAGTGCTGAGGGCCCCCAAAGGTCTTGAATGGCCTGGGTATAGAACAGGCTCTCTGATAACACCTATGCCTATAAGAACAGCTTTGCAACCCTGGGATTGGGACAACTGAGTTGGTTGAGTATGAGTAAAACCTTAGAAGTAATCCAGTGTAACTTCCCACTGAGGCAAGAATCCTTTGGAGAGCATAGCTTTAATGTCTCCAGGCTAAGAGACTGCTTTCTTGAGCTCATTCTGTCTGCCCATGTGGAGAATGATTCGACTGGTTAATGTGTCTTCGAATTGGAGTGGGTGTCAAGGGGCTGGACATTTGGTACCTCAAGGCAAAGTTAGCACCTCCTTGCCTGATTTGTGCTACTGACCTGTGATTTGATCCCGTTCCCATCATTCCCATCCTGTCTTCTAAGAAGTGAGAAATGGCAGGCAGCTTAGTGAGACATTTTCAAATGTCAGAGAAGAGCTTTCACTCTTTAAGACAACAAGGTGGCGTCTGAGGAACTGATGGCAGCACAGTCCCTTTCATTGTTACTTTGCTAGGACTGTAGATGCTTGTTTTGAACAAGTGTCCCCATTTCTCTCCCTAGCTCCAGACAGAACAAACTCTTAAGACTCCATCCTAGTGAGTGCATTAGGGGCGGGGACTTAGGTTCTAGTTAGGGTTTTGTCCGTCTTGAGGTCTCATACCCGTGGTGTGGTGCTGGCCTGTTTTGGGAGTTCAGTGTTTGAACTGAACTGGGCCTGGCCCTGCCCTGGAAGCCATGAGATGTGGGGCAAGTGGCACCACCTTTGGGCTCCTTGTTTTCTCCAAGGGTTGGGACTAGATGATTATAGTGATATCTGATATTTATTGAGCTCCTTGTTCTGGCTTTGTGCCAGGCTGCTAGGGGCCTTACCTGCATTATTTTATATAACTTATATATAAAATGTAATCACTTAAACCTCACAACAGTTCTGTAATTAGGTCCTGTGTGCTCTGTTGACATGTGGAAACAGGCTCAGAGAGATTAAGTTATCCTGGCTGCACAAGTAAGCTGCGGATGGCAGCCTCCACACAGAGCATTTAGCTGAAAGTCTGAAGCCAGTCATGTGTCATCGTTTCCCCAGACCTCCCTGGGTGACCATCCTGTGCACCAGGGCTCAGCCCTGCACCATATAGAATGGTCTTCAGGGCAGGGTGGGGTGATGCTGGATTATAAATCCCCATGTGTGTCGGATGCCCACATTGTCTGTACCTGGCTGGCAACACTGACAGCTGTGCACAGTGTGAAGTGTGTGTGTGTACGGTGAAAAGGACACGGTTGAGAAAGTGCTCCATGTTTAGGAGCTGATTGGTGCACTCCGTCTTCCTGGTCTCTGGTGTGGGCGTGACTTTGTGAGGTGCTTGCTGTCCCAGGTCCAGGCCCAAACCACAGCCTGCCCAGTGCATGCAGGAGAGGTGTCTGCTAGGAGCCAGATGGGAGGAGACCTTTAACCTGAAAGTATTAGTGTCTGAACTGGTGCTAAACTGAAGGAAGGGTTTGGGGACTGGGGTGGAAGTGGAAGAAACAATTCCTGCAGGGGATTGGAGATGTTCGATGGAGGGGCAAGCCTTGAAAAAGGCTGTGGTTAGGTTAGTTGTTGAGTGGTGACCAGTAGGGTGCCTGCCACACAGCACTGTGTATTGTAAGAATTATAAATTGGCTAGAGTTCAAGTCTCCAGAGCCTTGGTCCAGCCCTGGCCCACAAACTCAGGATGGGAGCCAAACTCTATAGCTGTGCCTATCAGTTCCTAGTGATTCCCAGCATGACCACCAAAGCTTTAACAGAAGAATATCTGTGAGAATTGAGTGGGGATGCTTCCGAAGCCATCGTTCTCTGGACTTCACAGTACATGCAGTTGTTACTTAATAACATAGGCCAGGCATTCTGCAGGCTAGAAGTGTGAATTTTTAGTACATTTTAATCTTTTAAAAATATTTTTATTGATTTTTAGAGAGAGAGGAAGGGAGAGGGGTAGAGAGAAACATCGATAGAGCGAAACAGTGATTGGCTGCCTTCTGCACCGCACCCCCCCACCCCCACCAGGGGTTGAGTTATCAACCTGGGCATGTGCCCTGACCAGGAATCTTCCTTTCAGTAGACAGGAAGACGCACAACTGACAGCCACACTAGCCAGGGCAATCTTTAAAATTAATTAATTACACAATAAATATACAAATGCAATTTCCTGAGTTTTAAAAAAGGATTCTGTAAATAAAGGCAAAGTCCCCTTTTAACAAAGTTTTAGCTTATTCCATAATGTTTGATATAAAGGGGATTTATATTTATGTACGGCTTACTACCGGTAGAAAGCCTGAAGTTTTCATGTTAACCTTCCCTGTAGAGGGCAGTAGAGCAGTATTCACACACTTGCTGACGTCAGAGGCCTTTAGGAGAAAGCTACCTCACATATCCTAGTAATAAGCTGAAAGGGTGGAAAACCAAACCAAAACGTCCATGCTGGAATGGCCAGTCAGACACTTCACACACAGCAGAGAATGAAGCTAGATGGCTTAAGAGAGAGAGTACAAGCGGGACCCCCAGCATCTGTGGGATATACATTTGAACAACAGCTGCACTCTTAGTAGGAGCGCACCAGTTTCTGGAGCCCACCTTCATGGCAGGACCATGAGGACAGGGTGAGATGCCAGCTTGTGGTAGAAACCTGTATGTGGGAAGCCCCTCCCCCAGGCTGGCTGCAGGGGGTTGTGTCAGCTCCCCACTCCAGCAGCTCACTCTGTGTGGTCTTATGTAAAAACTTAGCTCCTTTCTACCTCTGTTTTTCTTGTCTTTCAAATGGATAAACTTGTATTTTATGAAGCACTTTGGAACGTCCAAAGTACTTGTGTAGATCTGATCATATTGTTATAAAATTAAGAGAACAAAACACTTTGATGAAGTAAAAAGGAAGGAGTTGTTAATGTGAAGTATTTGTATTGGACTTAGAAATGTTGCTTGTTTGTGGAAAGTAGGTAGGTGGAGCCTTCAGCTGCACCACACACTGCTTTACATGTACATACACAGTTGTATTGCATGTATCGATGTGGACATGATTGTACATGGAAAAACATTACTTCATGTGTGTTACAGGGAAGAAATGATTCCCCTTGGGGATGGAGATATTAGGACCATGTGCCCCCTTGTATCCATGAAACCTGGAGAATATTCCTATTTCAGTCCTCGCACCATGTCGATGTGGGCTGGGCCGGATCACTGGCGCTTCAGACCACGACACAAACGTATGTATTTTCAGCTGAAGCCTCTTAGAGAAGGAGATAGTGGAGGTGGCCAGCAGTCAGCAAGTCAGCTGAGGAAAGGAAATGCCAGTTGCTGTCCTGTTGAACCTCCTGGTCAGCTGCAAGTGCACGTAGACCAGCCAGCCTCCCAGTTGGCTGGACAGTCAGTTGGCCCGCCTGGGATGAGGGCTCAGTTAAGATTTAGGCCTCTGAGTGGGAAGAGTCAGGAGAGCTGGGCTCCTGACTTGGTACTGCCCTGTAGTATCCACGTGGCTTCAAACAATGGCTGCAGATGGGAATGACCTCTAGGCTCTGGGGGCCCATGTGAGTTACTGCACGAGGTGGCCTTGGGAGCACTCTCATGGGGGTTATGCCAGCATTGTGTGCTTTTCATTCCCTCTTTGAAAAGGAGGGATTGTTGTGTTTTATTATCTAAACCACAACTTATAAATTAAGGCTGAAAGCAGGTGCATGATTTGCCTTTCCCAACGCTTTAAGGTGCGGTTGGTAAGACTGCCAGCGTGCCTTGTGAGGTGAAATGGTGTAAGCCCCAGAAGTGAGCGGTAATGCTTTCTGTGTCCATTTCTGCAGATGATGCCGCCTTGAAATCAGAGAACAGAAAGAAGAGCACAAAGAAAGAATTTGAAATCAACTTTGACGATGACATTGACTTTGATGTGTATTTTGGAAAAGCAAAGGTTTGCTGGATTTATTGCCATTTGCTTGCTTAAGTTACTCTTTGCCCTCCTTTTTCCCGTTTAGATGTGATTTTTAAAAATTTGTTATTAATTTAACTTTTGAACAGATGACTTCATTGACCTTCAGTTCTTTTTTTTTTTTTTTATCCTCACCCAAGGACATTTTTCCATATTTTGTTCAGATAGAGTGGAAGGGCGGGAGGGAGAGAGAGAGAAACATCGATATGAAAGGGACACATCGAGTGGTTGCCACCCACACGACCCAACCAGGGCTGGGGACAAACTGCAACCGAGGCATGTGCCCTTAGCGGGAACCGAACCCGGGTCTCTCTGGACCGCAGGCCAACGCTCTAACCACTGAGCCAAACTGGCCAGGGCTTTTTTTTTTTTTTTTTTAATTTTAATATTTTCATATTCACAAGTATTTTTTTTTTAATATTTTTTCTTTATTGATTTTTAGAGAGAGAGGGAAAGAGAGATAGAAACATTGATGAGAGAGAACATTGACCGCCTCCTGCATGCTCTCACGGGTCCAAAACCTGGGCATGTGCCCTGACCAGGAATCAAACCAGCGACCTCTTGGTGCGTGGGTCGATGCTCAACCACTGAGCCACACCGGCTGGGACCCTTAGTTCTTAGAGGAATTGAGAAATAATCCCAAACTCACTGGGAGAGAGAATAAAGTTTAAAATATGAATAGTCTTGCAAAGTTGCTATATTACACAGAACTGGGGACTCTGATGTCAGATTAGTGCTGCCTATACCCTTCCCAAGCTCCTTCTAAAAAAGAATAGGTTTTAACCATTTTTATTAAAGATACCTAAAAATATATATATGTTTTCTATTACTAGGCTGCTACTACTCTGACCAAGTCCACTCTGGAGAACCAGAACTGGAAAGCCAGCACTCTTCCCACAGATTTCCACTATGAGACTGATAATCTGGTTCAGCTGCACCTCAAACCAGGCACCAGGGTAAGGCTGTTTCTTGGTTCCTCAAGGCTGCTGTTGTCAAGCCTGTGTACAGCCCAGAGGTGTCAGTGGCGGGTAGTGTTGACTGTCAGGCTGTGCCTTTGAGGAAAAGACCAGAGAGCATGCGGAGGAATGTGTTAGCCAAGAGGAGTTACCGGCAGATCCGGAGGGTGAGGCAGAGCTGAAGGGAAAAGCTCATAGGAATCAACATGTGTAGGAAATGCCTCACCTGGATAGAAGGCTGCACACAGGCCTACTAGTTGAAATGCTAGCGGGCTAAGCATAATCTTTTGTTGAGGTTTGTATAAGATGTGAGTTTTCTTTTATTTTTTTAAATTTTTCTTTATTGATTTTAGAGAGAGAGGAAGGGGGAGAGAGAGCGATAGATGGAAACATCAATGAGAGAGAACATCGATTGGCCGCCTCTTGTATGCTCCCCAACTGAGGATCAGGCCCACAACCTGGGCATGTGCCCTGACTGGGAATCGAATCAGTGACCTCTTAGTGCATGGGTCAACGCTCAACCATTGAGCTACACCAGCCGGGTGTGACTTGTTTCTTGATTCTCTCATGTTCTTGTTGATATTGTGGATTTACTAGCTGGATGCTTTTCCCAGCCCAGGTGCCTCTCCCACAATTAAGGTGTAGATGGGATCCCACTGTGGCTCGTGGGGTAATGGAGGTGCCGAGCACCTGACTGTGCAGTCCAGGGGTTTCCTAGAACTGCACAAGTGGCCTGGGTTCCTTCTACAACTGTCAGGATGAACATGTGACACTACCTGGTGCTGCATCCCAGGTACTGTTCGCTTCCTTTGCCTGAGGCTCTTCTGGTGATGCTAGGAGCAAGTGCATGTCCCTGTTGCTAGGGTGACCTGGCAGTAGGTCATGCCAAGTTCTGTTTGATGGGGAACCTCTGCTCATGTGAATTCCTGGTGGTTTTAGTCTTTGGTGTCAAGTGTACAGTCTACAGTTGCTCTTTCTTGTTTGCCTGTTCTTCCACAGGGTCTTAGTGATAGGTATTCAGTTCTCTGAATGTACCACTATCTCACATGCTGTTTTTATAAACAAATCCTGCTTGATTTTCTTTCTAATCAATACTGTTTGTTCACTTAACAGAAATACAGTTGACCCTTGATCAGCATGGGGGTTAGGGGGGCTGACCCCCCTCCCTCAGTAAAAAAAAAATTCATGTATAACTTGACTCCCTAAAAACATTACTAATAGCCTACTGTTAATCGGAAGCCTTACTGATAACATAGTCAGTTAACACATATTTTGTATGTTGTATGCATTATATATTGTATTCTTACAATAAAGTAAGCTAGGGAAAATAAAATGGCATTAAGAAAGTCACAAGGAAGAGAAACCACATTTACATTTATTGAAAAAGTCTGCATATAAGTGGACCTGCACAGTTTAAATTCGTGTTCAAGAGTCAACTGTACTCTTAAAAATGCAGAAAGAAATAACATACTGTTATATTTAAATTATACCTCAGTTTTTTAAATAAATGCAGAAAGATACAAAGTTGCAACAGTAGTAGCAACTATGACTACTGTGCAAATTGGTTAGATGCCAGCAGCAAGTTCTCTACTCAGAAAACAGCCCTGAGGGGAGCAGAGCCGGGCTGCTGGCAGCTGAAGGAAGATGGCGGGGCTCGTCCACCAGACCTGGCCCCGCTTGGAGTTGCTTGCGATTATTCACAAGAACAAATGTCCCCATGTGTAGCAGGGCAGCAGTCACTGGGGCTGCGGATCCCCTCACCCTTCCAGCAACACTGCACTAGGAAAATGACCTTTCAGCACTGGAAAGTGAATGCTAGACTAGTAAACGCTGTATTTACCTAGAAACTCAACAGATCACTAGCCATTCAGTTTAGTATCTTATCTTAACAGGATTCTAATAGCAGCCAGCCAGTACATGAGGGGTTTGAGTACCCTTCCTGAAACATTTACTATAGACCCTGGACAATTTAGGGTGTGTCCAGAGGAGAGTATATTCTAAATAGAGGGAGATTTAGAAATTGTCATACTTGGAGCAGTGGAAGAAAATGGGCATTTCTTTGTGTGTGTGTGTGTATTTTTTTTTTTAACTGCTTTGAGAGAGAGGAAGGGAGAGAGAGAAACATCGATCAGTTGCCTTCCGTATGCACCCTGACCAGGGATCTAACCCACAACCTGGGTATGTGCCCCAACCGGGAATAACCCACCACCTTTTCAATGTTGGTTGGCAATGCTCCAACCAACTGAGCCATGCTGGCCAGGGCAAAAAATTGGGCATTTCTTAATTTAATAAATAACTTGTTTAATATTATTTTTGGATTTGTATACAAGAACATTGAGTTTTGGAGGCTGCTTTTGGAGTATATAGTTGCATTAAAATATCGTGCTTTTGTAAACTGTACAGTTTTAATGCCATTTCTTTTCCCCAGTGACACACACCCCAGGTAACCATCACTGGTCTAGGGCCTGCAAATATCTGAAGGGCTATGGTAAGCAGGCACTCTCCAAAGAAGAGCTTTTTTTCCAAAATTTGTTTCCCTTTTTTCATTTTAGAGAGAGAGGAAGGGATAGGGAGAAAGATAGAAACATCGATGAGAGAGAACATCAATTGGCCGCTCCCTGCATGCCCCCCACTGGGGTTCGGGCCCACAACCTGGGCATGTGCCCTGGATGGGAATCGAACCAGCGACCTCTTAGTGCATGAGTCAACGCTCAACCACTGCACCACACCGACTGGGCAAGAAAAGACAGACTTGATCTGTGATGCTCTGGAAGGTGGGACAGGACCCTGGCTATGATAAAGGGAGGAGAGCTAGATGTTTCTCCCTGTAGCTCTGTGGGGAACAGCTGTTGGCTCATTGAAATAGCGGGTGGGTGATTTTATGTCAAAACTGTGCAAGCAGCAAAAAATTAACTTCTTTTCAGAAAGCTGTAGGCAGTCTTGATTTTAGTGAAGGAACCCTTTTTCAAATAAAATTGTGTACAGATTTCATTGCCAACCAGCTGCCCTGGTTTATTGGGGTTGATGGCGACCCTGAGCCCTACCTGGGCTTGCTCTAGTATGGAGTTGTGCAGTTTGGAAAGTCGGTTGAATTGGATGACGTCTGAGGGCTGTTATAACACTCAATCTGGGGGATTGAGCAGAAGAACCCAGCTGAGTGGTTGCTTTTCTAAAAATTGTTTTCTTCAGTTGTTCTTTTCTTCATTCTAGATACTTACAATAGCCCGAGGCCAGAAGGTGGGGACCGAGCATTATGAAGAAATTGGAGACTATGACTACAATAACCCTAATGACACCTCCAACTTCTGCCCTGGATTACAGGTAAAGGGAAAGAGCTCTGTCCTCTTGTCCAAGCTCCAGAATCTTTCTGTCCTGCTCCCATTGCCCCTGCCATGTGTCGGAGGCTGTAAGGTTTTAATCGGGTGGAGGTTTCAGATGCCTGCCCAGCCCCCGGCATCAGGGAACTGAGCAGAGCTGAGTAACAGCCAGAACCTGGCCCGTCTTACTGTTAATCCTGTTTGCAGAAAAGTGGACATGCTCCAGTACCCAGTCAACATGTGCATGAGGCTGTTAACATATGCAAAGCACCGGTATTAGCTATTTTGGGATTTTGAAAGAAAACATTTCCTGCTCTTAGGAGCTGATATTTTGGTCAGGGAGACAAAACTCATAGACATGAGAAAATGGTGGGTGCCAACAGGGAAAAAGGGTTCATGGGTGAGTCTCGGGAGACCAGGCTGTAGCTCTGATGTTGGTTCTCACAGTGTGAACTTGTTGGTCCTGGTTAGACTGGATAATATCCGTGTTCCCCCTATGAGTCAGCTGCTGAGACACGAGGGGAAATGACAGCATGGGAGATCACTAGGCTGCATCTGGGTCTCTGCATGTGGGAAGATGGAGAATTGGAAGGATAATTCATTCACTTTATTTTCTTACTTGGATGAGAGTTGGGTTTTTATATTTTAGTGTAAATCCAGATTGATCTCTTGACCAGTGTTTCTCAAACTTTCAGCGTAAGAGTCACTGGGAGAACTAATTAAAAATCCATTCCTGGGCCCCACCCCAGAGAGCTGATCGATTGCTGCTGGGCTCTGCCAGCATTGACTTTCCCACTGGCTCCCAGCAGGACTGCTGCTGGCCTGCTGACAGGTCATGCCATTTCAGGAATGCTTTCTGTAAAATTAAACCCCAAATTTGTTTGAAGTCAAGGGGACACTAGCAGTTGTGATGACTGTATTTTTAACTGTCATTGCACAGCCTTCTTATTAATAGGTGTCTCCCTTGTAGGGTTTAGGTACAACAGGAGGATGACTAGAGGTCCCCTGAAGTCCACCCTAGGCTGGCTCAGCATAACAGACCCCCTGCTCTTGCTGTGTAAATGCGGGCTCTCTTTCAGGGATATCTCTAAGCCCCTCCCACAGCTTCTGCCAAACATGAAGCGCCGTTTCCTTGCCCAGGCTGCTGACAGTGATTATGAAGAGTCGGGTGACTTATTTGTGGGACCAGTTGGGACCTCTGACCTCTCAGCTTATCCTTGCCATTCGCCTAAGACAACACAAGAGAGCGATGATTCACCTGACATCCAAGGATCAGACATTACTCATTACGGGGAGTCAAACCTGATCGCTGAGCCTCAGAAGGTAAAGATGGAGCAAGAATTCTGTCTCATGGTGTTCTGAGATCTGTGTCATTTCCTCCTGAATGAGTCAGGTTGGTCTGAGCTTGAGTTTTTAATACTCAGTTTTAAGCCATTGCTATCTATGCAAGTGGCTGATTCTTAAATAGGGCAGTGGGGATGAACAGCCTTCATCAGATTTGTGCAGCGAGCCCTCTCTGTAAAGGTTGTGATGAACCACATGACAACCCAGGCACACCCAGTGTGTGAGCCCAGGGTGCCAGCGGAGAGAGTGTTTCTGTGCTGACTGGCTGAGACTAGCTGTTTGGCTCTGGAAAATCTTGGCCAGGTTCAATTCATATTAAATTATCTTCATTAAGCATCTGTCTGTTTTGTAGCAGATGAGACTCACTCTTCTCTTTTACACTGGAGTTTCAGGTTAGCCTTACTGGACATACTTGACCAAGAAGAAATTAGGTTGAAATGAAGGACTCTATTTTATTTTATTTATTTTTATCTTCGCCTGAGGACATTTTTGCATTTAACTTTAGATACAGCAGGAGGGAGAGGGGGGTGGGGAGAGAGAGAACCATCGATGTGAGAGAGACACATCGACCAGTTGCTACCCACACGACCCCAACTAGGGCCGAGGACAAACTGCAACCGAGGTACGTGCCCTTAGCGGGAACCGAACCTGGGTCTCTCTAGTCTGCGGTCCAACGCTCTAACCGCTGAGCCAAACTGGCCAGGGTAAGGACTCTATTTTATGTCCAAAGAAAGCTTTCTAACTCCATGGTTTAAACTCGGTGTTCTTTACTTTAACTCCAGACTCATATTAAAGTGTATTGATGATAAATGCTTCTTTCTTCTGCTTAGTTTTACTTTTTGTCACATACCTATTTCAGGTAAATAAAATTGAAATTCATTATGCCAAGACTGCCAAGAAGATGGACATGAAGAAGCTGAAGCAGAGCATGTGGAGGCTGCTGACGGACTTCACACAAGTGGACGCGAAGGTAAGACATGGAGGGCTGCTCCACTCCTCTGGGCGCCTGGCGAGGGGTCGGGGTGCTGGCTTCCATGGCTTCAGGATCCAGAGTGCCAATGCAGAAGGTGTCACTCAGAAACATCGGGATGACATCACACTGAAAGAGGTGAAGTGAGGGTATGAACAGGTCACACACAAGGTGACAGAGACAGTGAACACGGGACATCACTCAGCCTTGCTGCTGACCAGAATGCCAAACAATGAAAGGACGTTTACGTTGTTTTCAAATAACAGCTTACTTAGTAGCTAACTGATTCACTGCTGGTCCAATTTGAGTTGATAAATGGCCCTTCTGGATAACAAATTCGGACATCTTAGGTGCCATACAGTAAAAATTTTTTAAATGTTGTCAAATTGTCTCTTTCCTTCAAGTAAGGTGAAACCTTGATTTATTTTTTTTTAATCCTCACCCAAGGATATTTTTTCATTTATTCCGACTGAATGGAACTCTAGTTAACTCTTTGTTAACTAGAACCATCTCCCCTTTCAGACCTGCTCGGGAGCTCTGAGTTTTCCAAACAGCCTGTTCTCTTGTGCTTCTCTCTGGCTGAGTAGTGAAAATTATGATTTGATTGAGGACCCTGAGCTGTGTAGTCTTGGATATCAGAAAAAGCTCCTGTTGTATTTATTAAGTTTTATCAACTAAATTGGAATGGGATGCAAACATCAGAGGAATGTGCTTTTTAAAAAGTAGGGAGGAGTTCTACTTTAACCTTTGGATTTAAATGATTCCTAATACCCTGTCCTCTAGGATTTTGGGTGATTATTTTTAAACCTTTTATTATAAAAATATTCAAACTAAAAAATACAAAAGAGAATAGTATAATGAATGTCAATATTGTACCTGTACCATTACTCAGACTGTCTCCCCAATCACCTCATCATATACTCATTCTGAGGTTTTGTAAAAAAAAAATGTGTTTGTGCCCTGGCTGGTTTGGCTCAGTGGTGAGAGCATCGGCCTGCGGTCCATAGAGACCCAGGTTCGGTTCCCGCTAAGGGCATGTACCTCGGTTGCAGTTTGTCCCCGGCCCTGGTTGGTCGTGCGGGTGGCAGCCACTCGATGTGTCCCTTTCACGTCGATCTCTCTCTCTCTCTCTCTCTCTCTCTCTCTCTCTCTCTCTCACTCTCTCACTCTCTCTCTCTCTCTCTCTCTCTTCCTCTCTCCCTCCCACTCTATCTGAACAAAAAATGGAAAAAAATGTCCTCGGATGAGGATAAAAAATATATATATATATATGTTTGTATTGATTTTTTTAGTGAGAGAGGAATGGGGGGAGAGAGAGAGAGAGAGAGAGAGACATTGATATGAGAGAGAAACATCCATTGGCTGCCTCCTGGGGATCAAGCCCGCAACCTGGGCATGTGCCCTGATCGGGAATTGAACTCAGTCCATGGGACCACACTCAATCCACTGAGCCACACAGGCTGAGCTCATTCTGAGTTTTTTAATGCACATACCAGACATAATATCCTTTTATAGCTAGCTACTTACCTACTAGCTAGGAGGCAGCCATGTGTGTGTTGTGTTGTTTTGTGTGTGTTTTAAATGGAAACCTTAGGTCTACTTTTAGATATGGATTCTGTGCTGCCCTTGACTATGGGGTCCAGTTGAAGCTACAAATAATCATGGCCTTTTGTTTTGTCACTTTTTTTCTTTCTTTGCAGTTTTTCCTTTCTTGAGATTCCACTGGCCATCAACATCATTTTTACCAAAACTCAGTAAATGTTGGTGTGTGGTCCAGGGCTGAGACACTGGGTCCCTTTATGGATTCTTTTCCTTGAAAATGTGGCTAAGAAATTGTTTTGGTTTTGTTCAGATGTAGACTTTTTTTTTAATTTTTAATTTTTTATTAATTTATTTTTGTTACAGATGTTTCTCCTTTTTCCCCCATTGACACCCTCCTCCCAATCCCCCCTGCCCTGTCCCCAGCATTGTTGTCTACGTCCATGGTTACACATACACGCATATAAGTTCTGTGGTTATCTCTTCCCCTTGGCCCCCTCTTCTGAGATCTGTCAGTCTGTAGCCTACTTCTATGTCTCTGGGTCTGTTTTGTTCATCAGCTTGTTTTGTTCATTATGTTTCACAAATAAGTGAGATCATATGATATTTGTCTTTCTCTGATTGTCTTGTTTTGCTTAGGCTAATACTCTCCAGGTTCCTCTATGTTGTCTCAAAGGATGAGAGATCTTTCTTTCTTACAGCTGCGTAGTACTCCATTGTGTACATGTACCACAGCTTTTTTATCCATTTGTCTACTGATGGACACTTGGGCTGCTTTCAGATATTAGTGATTATAAATAGTGCTGCTATGAACATGGGGGTACATATATTCTTTCTGATTGGTGTTTCAGGCTTCTTGGGGTATATTCCTGGAAGTGGGATCACTGGATCAAATGGCAGTTCAATTTTTAACTTTTTGAGGAAACCCTATGGTGTTTTCCATAGTGACTGCACCAGTCTGCATTCCCACCAGCAGTGTACTAGAGTCCCCTTTTATCCACACCCTCGCCAGCACTTGTTGTTTGATGATTTGTTGATGGCGGCCATTCTGACAGGTGTGAGGTGATACCTTGTTTTAATTTGCATCTCTCTGATGATTAATGACATTGAACATTTTTTTATATGTGTCTTGGCCATTTATATGTCCTGTTTGGAGAAGTGTCTCTTTAGGTCCTCTGCCCATTTTTTAATTGTGTTCTTTGTCTTTTCTTGAGTTGTATGAGTACTCTATGTATTTTGGAAATTAACCCCTTAGATTTTCTTTTTGGAAATCGGCCTTTGTAAGTTTATGTTGCTCCCTCAAAAGTGAACTAGCCTCCAAGGTCTGATCTGTGAATATCCTTCTTCTCTTAGGCAAACCACAGTGAGACTGGAAACGAAGGGGGCCCAGTGGAAGTGGCTGAAAAGAAGATGCTCAGCAGGCTCACCCAGGACCTGCAGAAGAGGTGCGTGCTAGCACACTCGGGGGCTGGTGTCTCCTCTGAGCCTGGCTGAGAGCGCTCCAGCCGCGCTGTTAGTGTGACGGACCCTCCGCACACGACCTGCTGTTCTAACACTCTCGCAGTTCTTTCTTCTCTGCATTGAAAAGTGAGTTAGTATAGACCAACTTTCAAAGGCATTTTTCTGCACCAGTGGTTGGAATGGAACAGGAGCTATATTTTATTTCCAGATAAAACTGGAAAAACCTGCTTATAAAATGCATCTGAGATATTCTTTGTTCCTCATTACGTTTATTTAACGGGCGCGTGTGTTCGTGGAGATGAAGGAGCCTTTTGTTCCTCGAGTTGCAGTGACCTAGCTAAATGTGGCCCTTTGTCCCACAGCCTGCCGTCCCTCATGGCTCAGAACCTCTCTGTGCCCCTGGCCTTTTCCTGCCTCCTGCACTTAGCCAATGAGAAGGTAGGTGACTCTGGTAAGCGTGGGTGTGTTCTCTATTTGTGTCCACCTGCTTGAACTTTTTATTAGATCTTTCCTGGGCTACTTTATAGGAAGTCTTTACATACAGTGACCTACATGTGGTACCTTCAATCCAGAGGATTGACCTGGCACTGAGGAGGAACTAAGAAAAAGGCCATGGGGTGTGATTAGCAATAAAAATAATGAAAAAGACCCAAATGGGAAAATTTTAGATGTGTCTGTTCCCAGCTTGGAAACATAAAGTACTTTTACATCTCTGTGTGTCAGAAGCTTCAAAGGCCAAACCTGACAGTGCTGAAGTCCAGACACGTGGGAGACGTGGCAGAGAAGAAGGGAGAGCAGAGGGTGGAAGGAAGGCAGATGCTCGGGCAGGTGTGGAGGCAGTGGCCAGCCAGGTGGGGCCACCAAGAGCAGTGAGGAAAGTCTGGGGAATGGAGGTGTCTGTCACAAGGATGGGGACAGCAGAAATGCCACCTGTGCAGCGTGCCAGGCTCCTCCCGTGCCATGCGGGTGGCAGAGCTGAGCAGCTGTGGGACGGTAGTGACCCACCCTCTCAGGAGCCTGTTGACGCCACAGAGGGGCACCCGGTACATGTGGTACTGCTGGAGACTTAGTGTCCTTTGGTATCCCAGGTTGGTCCCTCACACAGACTTTAGCACATGAAGTAGCAGCCCATGGGCTGGGCTTGGGCTGTAGCCTGTGCCGTGAGCATCACTAGGGCTGGGGGTGCCTAACTGCCACCACTGTGGATACTCCACCTTTTCTAGGGCAGGTGCTCTGCCCAAGGTGAGCGGTGAGCAGGGTGTGACCCCTGAAGTGTGGTTCGAGAGGGTTGATGAGATTGGAACACAGTGGTAGCAAAAATGGGGTGCTGGTAAGTGCCGGGATTACTGTGTGACCTCTAGTGACATCGGGAGCAGTGATGACCGGCTCGGTTTCCCAGGCCTGCCTTTGCTCTGGACTGTCAGGCCCCAAGTAGGGAGTGTTCCCTGTAGGGCAGCCTGTGTGCACAGCCTCCCACCGAGCCCAGTGGACCCATCCCTGGGAATCAGGGACCACTTCTTCTCTTGCCAGCTTCTAAGCTCGTGGCCTCACTGAAGAAGAAACTGTCCATGTGGCAGAAGCCAGTTCTACTTTGGGTGGGCATTCGATGTAGAAGAGCCGTGGGGCCAGGGTCATGTGCTCCTGTGTCTGACCGAGGTGACCGTTGGGCCTGTGACCTCCAGCTGGATACGCCTGAGGCCTGAACAGCAGAGCCCGCCCAGCTCCCGGGTGCACAGCGTGCATCAGCCCGTGCGGATGCTGTGGACCCAGCAGCACGCCCACCGCTGCCGGAAGGAGCAGCAGCCGACTGCAGAGCCCCGCGCCTGTCCGCCGGGAAGGTTGTGGGAGCCGGTAGTGAGGTCTCCGTGTGAGTGCTGGCACAAGGTGTTTGATGTCTGAAGCCAACTACACGAGGAAAGAATGACTAAGAGAAAAAAAGAATAAAAAGCTCTGTCGTCCTGACAAGAAGCCTACAAGCAGCCCTGAGGAGGATTCCCCGTCAGAGGAGGAGGGCGCTCCAGCCACCTTCCGTCTGACACTCAGAAGGGTCACTGCGGGGCAGTCTGGGAGGGCGCGCTGTTACTAGAAAAGGGTGGGTGCTGGCCAGCACATCTGCCCTCCTTCCAGGCCCAGTGAGGGAGGGGCACGTGAGGCGAGGCAGGAAGGGCTCTGCCTGGTGTAGTCCTGAGGGAGCAGTTGCCTGGGGTTGGTGGAGATTTTGTGGGCTGGGAGAGGGGGAAGAATTGGGGTGAGAAAAGGCCTGCAGAGACGGGGAAGAGAACAGATGTGTGGCCCTCACTAAGGGATGGGCGGGGGAGGGGGGGCAGGAGGGCCTGGAGAGGCCCCCCGCAGACAGGTTAGTAGACGCACTGTGGCTCCTGGCGGCCTCCCCGCACCTCCCTTTGCTCCTTAGAACAGGCAGCCTAGCTCTTGGGCCCTGGACACAGTGTTGTGGGAACCAGAGCCAGAGAAGGCTTGGTTTCTGCTTTTCCCCTGCAGTCGGCAAGGGCTTGGAACCAGCTCTTCTATGCAAATTATATTTGCTGTGACATAATTTTGCTTATCATGGGACAAACTTCATTTCTTGTTACCTCAGTTAGAATTTGTTTTGTGATTCTTGCATTCTTGATATACCAGAGTCCATGTATGTTTTATGTTCTTTCAGAATCTAAAGCTGGAAAGCACTGAGGATCTTTCCGATGTTCTTGTGAAGCAGGGGGATTGAGTTCACCGGGACAAGTGAGCAGGAGAGAGCTTGTCACTTCTTCAGGGACCAGGACGTCTCCACTCTGGGCGCTATAATGTGGGGCTCTTGGCAAGGCCATAGCCAACTCCAGGGTGCCCATTTGTCGCTCTTCCTTTCTGCCCCTTTCAGTCCGGAGCCCAGCACAGAAGCTCGCCCTTGATTAAAACTGTCTGCCCTGTGACCACCTAGCTGGGAGAGGCAGAGGGTACATTTCTGGTGATGAAAACCTACATCCATTCTCTATATCCATGTATAGTTTTTGCCTCCTAAATCGATTTGTTGTTCTGCCCACTTATTTACCCTTGTAGAAAAGAATTTCTTAGTAGTCAATTACCAGCTACCTAATTCATGTACATAAAATAAATCACATGCACTTATTAATGCATATAGAATGCTTAAACAAAAATCTGAGTAGTACGGCAGAATGTTTGAGCACCCACGAGGTAAGTTTGAGACCTGGTCCTTACACTGGGGTGCTTTCTTGGTACAGACAGGGTGCCACGTGTCACTATGAGGCAAGCCGCTGCGGTCATGTGTCCTGTGGCAGAGGGGAGGCGAGAGCACCTGCTGCAGGCCCAGACTTTGGAGTCGGATCTATGGAGCCTGTGAATTTCGCTGAGAGTGACGGCAGTAAAAATTTCTGGCTCCTAAATACCTTCCGTGGCTCACTTCCTGCAGCCTTCTCAGCACCACTGTGGGACATGCTCGTACCACTCCCATTCGGCGGAGGAGAAAGGGGACACAGGTCCAGGAACTTGTGTAAGGCAGACAGCTGACCGTCAAGAGCTTGACCCTGAATGAGGAAATCTCTTCTGGAGTTTGTAGCTATTCTGCTGTCTGCTGCTCAGATCACAGCCTCAGTGCTGTGGGTGCAGATCCAAGTGGCCCTGTCCTTGGCAGGTCCTGGTCCCTACCAGAGCATTCTGCACCATTCATTGGGTATAGGTAGGTTTGAATGTTAGGTCAGAAGCAGTGAAGTCTGTTATTAGAGATTACTATTGATAATAACTTGTTCCTAAGCTGAAGACCACACAAAACAAAAAATGAGTAATCCCTTCCAGCCAGGAATGTGCTTCCAGACTGCATCCTCAACACAGGGTGGGCCAGGTGGGTCTGCTGCTGTTCGTATGCAAAATACACAACAGTACAAGAATGAACTCAGTGTTTCGTATACTCACAACTGTAAACCTGCTTTTGCCCACCCTGTATCAGCCTCTCTGTTGAAAGGGTTAGACTTGTGAACAGGCCAAGGGAGGATGCGTGCCCTCTTCTGGGCCGGAGCTGAGATGTTCCCTGTGCCGGGCAGTGCTCTGCTCCGCTCATTCCAGCAGTGGAGTAGCCCTCTCAGTCCAACACTCTGTTGAGGCTGGGCTGGGGTTCAGTGGCCAGAAAACTGCAGGGGGAGCCCCAGCTTCCTCAGTGAACTCCCCGCCACCTTGCTTTTCCCAGCTTCTCCCCGCTCTTTCACATGGTAGCTGTATCAAAATTCATTTGGCTGCATACAATAGAAAGCTCATATGTGGGTATGCAAATAGTGGGTTAGTGTATCGATTCCGTGAAGAGACCAAGGGTCATTCCAGCTGTCTTCTCTGCCATCCCTAGTGCGTGACTCATCCTTGTGTTTCAGTATAGTTGCTGGCATCTAGCCATCACATCATATTCTTAGCAGAAGGAGGGGTTGGGGGAGCAGGCAAACTATTTTTGGTCTATGGATTTGCCTTTTCTGGACATTTCATATAAATGGGAGCATACAGTGTGTTGTCTTCTGTGACTGGCTTCTTTCAATTAGCATAATGTTTCAGGGTTCATCCAAATTGTAGCATGTGTCAGTACTTAATTCCTTTTTATAGCTGAGTAATTTTTCATTGGATACACCATGTTTTGTTGAGCTCATCAGTTGATAGACATATTTTTTCCACTTTTTGGCTATTGTGAATACTATAAACATTCGTGCACAAGTTTTTTTATTTGTATATTTTTAAATTGATTTTTAGGGAGAGAAGGGGGGGGGCATCTATGTGAAAGCAAAGCATTAATCAGCTGCCTCCTATATGCCCTCTACCAGGGATTGAGCCCGCAACTCAGGCATGTGCCTGGACTGGGAATCGAACCACCAACCTTTTGGTGCATGGGACAGCACCCAACTAAATGAGCCGCACCAGTCAGGGCTCGTGCACAAATTTTTATATGGACATGTTTTTGTTTTGTTTGGATTTTTTTGTGAATCCTCACCTGAGGATATTTTTTCCTTGGCTTTCTTGAGAGAGTGGAACAGGAAGGGGAAGGGGGAGGGGAGAGAGAGAAAAACATTGATGTGAGAGAGAAGCATCAATTGGTTTCCTCCTGCATGACCCCAACTGGGGCTGGGGATCAAACCTGCAACCCAGGTATGTGCCCTTGACCAGGAATCAAACCCACAACCCTTCAGTGTACAGGCCAATACTCTAACCACTGAACCACACTAGCCAGGGCTGTGGACATGCTTTTGATGCTTTTTGATATATACCTAAGAGTTGAATTGCCAGGCTGTTTACCAAAGTGGTTGTACCAGTTTTACATTCCAACCAGCAGTGTCCAAGTAAGTGATCCAATTTCACCACATCTTTGCCAGTGGTTACTATGTCTTTTTGATTCTAGCTGTCCACATGGGTATGAACTGGTATCTCATTAAGATTTTGATTTTCCTTTCCCTGAAAGCTAATGTGTATTGACTTAAATCTTTTTCCGTGTTCTTCACTCTAGATCATTACCAATTTCTCGAGGTTCACGCATTCTTTTTTCTGCCATCTCCAACCTACTCTTGGTGGAATGGGGTGTGTGTGTGTGTGTGTAGTCATAGCTCTGAAAGTACCTAGCATGGGTTGTTGGACCAGGCCCCTAGCCTCCCCAGGCCTTGGTTTCCTCACTTACCAGGTATAATCAGCTCTGGCCGGTTTGGCTCAGTGGTTAGAGCGGTGGCCGGCGGTCCAGAGAGACCCGGGTTCGGTTCCCGCTAAGGGCATGTTCCTCGGTTGCAGTTTGTCCCTGGCCCTGGTTAGTGGTGCAGGTGGCAGCCACTCGATGTGTCCCTTTCACATTGATGTTTCTGTTCCTCTCCCTCCCACTCTGTCAGAACAAAAAATGAAAAAATGTCCTCAGGTGAGGACAAAAAAAGTGGTTGGGGAGAGTTGAAGTTGTACAAGCATAAATGCTGTCTACCTCAGGAGCATCCCCAAAAATTTGACACACAGCATTATTCTTCCTAGTCCCTTGCTGAGGCAGGTGAAGATCACAGCTTCTTGCTGGTCAGGACACGGGTGCTGTTCTGTTAGCCGCCTCCAGGGCCCTGCTGTCCAGGCTGGAGTGGTTTCTCAGTGATGACTGTTGGCGAAGCAGAGAGGAGCCTGTTTGCCCACCTCCCTGCCCACAGGTGTGCTGGCCACACTGCTCACACCCAGCGCTTCCCTCAGGTGCTGTTGCCCTCAAATTCACCTTGCATCCCTTCCAGTCTGGAGCGCATCACACTTTATCCTTTTCAATAAAAATGATTTATGAGAAGGTCCTCTCTGAGGACTGAGGGGTCCCTGTCCCACACCAGGCACCCTGATCAGGGTTCCAGTGCCAGGAAGAGAATCCCCATAATTTCTGGCTGAAAAACCAGCGGGAACTGAGGCCCAAGGAAGCTGAGGCGGCTGGAGCCCCAGGCAACTCCTTAAAGGGCCCGAGCACGGACTTATCAGACTCTCTCCCTCTAAGCTTGGAGGGGAGGCAGCTCGAGGGGCACCAGAGACATACAGGGAAGAACTGAGCTGTTTGGCATTGGAGCGAGGGCTGGAGAGGGGGCTTTCTCCGGGACAAATGTGCAGTCTGAGGCCTTTGTTCCTTTGGTGAGCCCTTCCCTGGGGCGGCAGACAGCCTCCATATCTGGGACTCCAGCAACCTGGCTCACACCGGTAGCCCCGCCCTGGTGATTCCCTGAGGCCCCGCCCCACCCAGCTTTCAGGCACACCCAAGCTGTTGCCAGTTGCTTCACCATAGGATTGGCCTGTCTTGGATCCTGCTTCAGGTTTTCCTAAATTCTTTCAAACAAGCAGCATCTGGTCTCAGCGAGCCCCATACCTCTCATTAAGTAATACACAGAAACAAACACAGGGAGGCAGCCAAAATGAGGAGACAAAGAAACAGGTCCCAAATGAAAGAACAGAACAAAACCTCAAGAAAAGAACTAAGCGAAATGGAAATAAGCAACCTAACAGATGCTGAGTTCAAAATACTGCTTATAAGGATGCTCAGTGAACTTCAGTGAGGGCCTCAAGAACATAAAAAAGGACCAGTCAGAAATGATAGATGCACAGTCAGAAATAAAGGAGGCATTAACTGAAATAAAGAATAATTTACAAAAATTCAATAGTAGAGTATGTAAATCCAAGAAGCAAACCATTGATTTGGAATATAAGGAAGCAAAAAACCCCCAATCAGAACAGCAAAAAGAAAAAAGAATCCAAAAAAGTGAGGATAGTGTAAGGAGCCTCTGGGACTTCAAGCATGCCAACATTCGCATCTTGGGGGTGCCGGAAGGAGAAGAGAGAGAACAAGAAATTGAAAACCTGTTTGAAACAATAATGGCAGAAAACTTTCCTAACTTGGTGAAGGAAACAGACATACAAGTCCAGGAAGCACAGAGAGTCCCAAACAAGATGAACCCCAAGAGGCCCACACCAAGACACATCATCATCAAAATGCAAAAGGTTCAGACAAAGAATCTTAAAAGCAGCAAGAGAAAAGCAGTTACCTACAAGGGAGTTCCCATTGGACTGTCAGCTGATTTCTCAAAAGAAACTTTGCAGGCCAGAAGGTAGTGGCAAGAAATATTCAGAGTGATGAAAAGCAAGAACCTACAACCAAGATTACTCTATCCTGCAAAGCTGTCATTTAGAATCAATGGCCATATAAAGAGTTTCCCAGACAAGAAAAAGTTAAAGTTCATCACCACCAAACCGTTATTATATGAAATGATGAAGGGTCTTTTTGAAGAAAAAGATAAAATATATGAACAAACAAAATGGCAATGAATACATATCTATCGACAATGGAATCAACAAGCAAAATGAACAGGCAGAACAGAAACATTCTCATAGATACAGAGAACATTTTGTTGGTTGCCAGGTGGGAGGGAGGTTGGGGGAATGGGTGAAAAAGGTGAAGGGATTAAGAAGTACAAATTCATTGCTAGACTGACAAACCTCAAAGGGAAAGGGGTTTGGGGGTGGAAAGAAATAAACCAAAGAACTTATATGCATAACCAATGGACACAGACAGTAGTGTGGGAAAAGGTGGGAGGGGGCAGGAGTGGGGAGGAAGGGGTCAATGGGGGAAAAATGAGGAACATCTGTAATACAAGAATA